ATGTGAGTGCACATCCGATTTGGAAGATGGCGGACATCCTCAACATTGTTGAGACTTGGGAGCATGAAAGTAATGTTATTGGAAAGATACAAGGGTTTACTCTGGTGGGATCTACTTGGAACCATAGAAATCGACGAGCAGGAAGAGGCTTTGGAAGCATTGCTACTTTCATCAGATCTGAACTTCTTCCTATGATACATTTGGAAAGCCAAGATATTGGGAAACAATATCATTGGCTTCGTCTTGGATTGATTGGAGGATCTTACAGTTATTTGGCAGTTTGTTACTTTGCACCATTATCCATGCAGATCTACTCCACAAGCACTTGCAATCGAAGTCAACCATTCCATCGGCTCATAGGAGATGTTCTCAAATATCAAGACAAAGGTGAAGTTTTTCTTGTTGGAGACTTCAATGCCCGCATACGTTCCGCTCAATTTACACAATTTGATAGTTCCTTGTCTTCTCACTCTTTTGAAGAAAGTAGAGATAGTTTGTGGTCTAGAGTCTCTTGTGATTCTTGTACAAATGATTTGACTTAGCATTTCTTGACTTTTGGAGCCACTTGTAATCTGAAAGTTCTCAATGGTGTTTCTTTCTTTCCCAACTCTCACTCCAATACATGTTTTTCCTCTACAGGTGTTAGCACTATAGATTATCTTTTTTCCTCTGCCACTAATAGTTCATTTATCTCAGCGTTTGATATTCTAGAGCCTCAAACAGAATCAGATCATACACCTCTTTTGTTTACTCTTTTGTTGTCAACGTCAATCCCTCTCCCTACATGTCACTATGTTTCTACTTCCCCCAAGTTTTGTTTAGATGCTAGTAAGAAGCAACTTTATAGTGAACATTTCCAAGACCTCTTGACTCGTACTACTTGGAGCCTTGATCCACATACATCTAGTTTGCAACTAACTGAGTTGCTCCAAAACTCTGCTTCTAAGTTCTTTTTGAGACATAAGACCAGGAGAGCTAGAGGTCTTCCTTGCAATGGATGGTTTGACTTTGATTGCAAGCAAGCGAGTGCAAGATCACTTGATAACTCCTTGGATCTTCACAATCGATTGATTATGACAAGACTTTACAAAGACTTGGTGAAGTCCAAGAAACGAGCATTTTTGAGGCAGAAGCAAGAGTGCTTGACAAAGAAGCTCTTGGAGAATCCCAAATCCTTTTGGACGCGGTTGGCAGTACGATCTTCTAAACCTACTCTTGATCCCAAGTCTTTGATTTCTTTTGCTGAAAAGCTTTATTTTTTTCCCAATGTTGCATCTATGCCACATTGTGAAGGAAATCCAGGCTTATTTTCAGAAGTTGAAGTGATGACTCAACTCAAACAATTGGCAAATGGTAAATGTGAGGATTTGGATGGGCTTTCCATTGAACTTCTCAAGTGGGGAGGAGATGCTATTGGGCCTATACTCACGAAAGTGTTAGAGGATGCTGCTATTCATGGCTTTCCTTCATCTTGGTCTCTATGGAAGATTGTTCCTATTCACAAATCTGGGAGCAAGGCCTTGGTGACAAACTATCGCACTATCATGGTGGGTAGTATTTTTGCCAAGTTATTTGGCAAATTGTTGGAATCAAAGTTGAGCACATGGGCTGAATCTTGTCAGAAGAGAGCGCGGTTCCAAGCTGGTTTTCGTCCTACATTCAACACTATAGACCATACCTTGGTTTTACGTGTTCTATGGGAGAAATCCAAGGGTAATGGAAAAGCTTTGTTTTGTGCCTTCATTGATTTCAAGAAAGCTTTTGACACAGTACCTCGTGAGCTTTTATGGCAAAGATTGCAAACCATTGGAGTAACATCAGATCTCTTAGCAGCGGTGGCTGCATTATACCACTGAGTTCGGACCAAGATCAACACTTCTCAAACCGAAGAGATTATCAGCACCATTGGAGTCATTCAAGGTTATCCTCTCTCTCCCACTCTCTTTGGAGTTTTCATAGATGATATAGAAAGGTGGTTGGAGGATTGTGATAGCAAAGGTGTTAAACTTGGAGGCTTTGTCATCAAAGCTCTTTTGTATGCAGATGATGTCATATTACTAGCACGTGATGCCACTAGTTTACAGAAACACCTTGACACTTTGGCTAGCTTTTGTACTCAAAAGCAGATGGAAGTCAATTTGGAGAAGTCCAAAGTCATTCTTGTGGGCACTAGATTCAAGCTCTCTTTCTGTTACAGAGGATTAGAGTTGGAACAAGTGAAAAGTTACAAATATTTGGGCATTGATTTCTCATCTGATTATAGTTGGGCACTTTGTGTGCAAAAGAGGGTAGAAGCTGGTTTCAAAGCTCTATATTCATTGCTAAATAGATGTAGAGGAGCTCATCTAGTGTCTTGGAGTCTTAGGAAATTCTTATTCAGGAGCTTAGTGTTTCCCGTTATCTTATATGGAACACAAGTGTGGGGTCCTGGTTGTAAGAAGACAGGTTGGCAGCGTTTGGAGAGGGTGCAAAAGATCTTCTTACAAGAAGAATTGGGTGTGAGGACCCAAACTTCTTATGCAATTCTTCTTGTGGAAACATGTTGTCTACCTCTTGAGGCTGAAGCTCTCTTTTTGACTATCACTTACGTCAAAAGAGTGAGATCTCTTGATGCTTCTCGACTTCCTCTTGAAGCTTTGGGTGCCACACGTCCCAAGGGTTGGTTTGCAGATGTGGTGACTTGGTCTTTGAGGTGGAATGTGACGGAACTCGATTGGAATTTGCAACCTATTGCCCTACGCGAGCATATTAAGGAGGAATTTCTCAGCATTATGTGGAGCAGACGAGGCACCAAGATGCAGTTTTATCAACTTCATGTGAATCCTATGCTTGTTTATTGTGAGCAAGGATACTTACTTGCAGAGATATCTACTTCTTTACGTCATATTATTGCTAGACATAGAACAGGATCTCATAGTCTTGGGATTGAAGAAGGGCGTTGGTTGAACATTGATAGGAGTGAACGTATTTGTAGGCTATGTGATGGAAGAAAAGTTGAGGATGAAGAGCATGTATTTCTTACTTGTACTAGGTATGTAGAGATAAGAGTGGCTCATAAAGTTGTTGTTGAGAATTTTTATTCTTTGCTTCAGCTTGAACCTTATGATTTAGGTTGTTACATTAGGGATGTTATTAGTTACCGTTCTAGTGCTTTGGACACTAGCTAGGAGGTTCTTTTGGTTCTCTCCTTGTTTGGAGTTGGATTCTTTGTATTGTGTTTTTTAGCCTTTTGACCCTTTGGGTACCACGGGCTTGATCTATTTACCTTTACCTTTACCTATATATCTCAAATTCAGATCATGTTTATTGATCATTCAGATATGCTATTTTATTTAGAATTTCTTATGATACATTTTCTTTGAAAATATATGATATACAAAGAGATTCGTCTTTTAGAAACATATATTCAGAAACACATGAAACATTGAAATGATAAATTATTGTTGAAAAAAAAATATTCACTTTGTAATACATATACATCTTAGATTTTATCTCTTATTGATAGTGTTATCATTGACAAGAAAAATATACATACACACACAACTGAGAAGGGAAAGTAGCAAAGCTTCTATAATTAATTTGACATTATATATTACTTTAGAACTTGATAATCCTTACAAAGTTGAATGAAAACATAAGATTCTTATAAGTTAAATTAATCAATGTTTAAAATCTTAAAAATTAAAACATTGTTGCAAGTTCGTATATAGTCTCACAATATATAAAAACTCATACATAATTTAAGTTCTTATAACCTTTTTTTATGCATATAAATTCCATACTTATTTGAAAATCTAGCATTTTTGAGTAATCTATTAAAAGAGATTATGATTTCTTTGATCGATCGATAATATCTCTAAGTATGTTTATCTATATAGACTATTTTCTTTATATACTATCGTGCTAGCAATGCAGTTGTTGATACAGATTGGCTTTTTCAACTTCTTAGTTCAGCTTAAGACTTCATGTACTTGCTAAAGCTATAATACACGTATTATTCTAGTGCTAAAAAAAATCGAACACCGTAACATGTGTCTAAAGAGTATAGAATGGAAACAACAGAGCTGAGGATCGTTTGAACATGCACATGACTTTGTTGTAGTGAAAGAGTAAAAAGCTTTGAGAACGATCAATTTATTTCAACGCTTATCAATCTGAATTTGATATTACCTTCCAGTATTAGTAACTTCATAACGAATAGGCAACTTCTTAGATTTCCTCATGCTTGCATTACTTGTATCTATTAGCCACGATGGATCTATTCAGAGTTGATCAAATCATTGTTCTGTGTGGTGAGTTGTGAATGAAAATGTCCCATGTTTACGTTGCAAGCCGGCCATTTCTGTGCACTCTTGAAGCATTTCTAACACCCTAAAGCTTTTCATGTGACATGCAAGCTTGTAAGGGAGTTGGGCACAATATACATTGTAGAATTTCTCACTGCCAAATAGTCTTCCTAAAAAGTATGGTAATGATGACAGTGTCAAACACTTAGCTCACACCCTCGGCACATGTTTGCACCTACTTCGGTTCATCTTCACAGCTGAGTGAATGTTCATTTAGGACACTATCAATTGTTTTCGCACTTTCCTTTGCAGTTGATGGCATCAGCGAACCAGACACAAGGTACCACTCAAAGGCGAATCTAAAGGTTTACAGAGTCATGGTCAAACGCAACTCCACCTCGACTTGTGTGCCACTTCATGATTAGTAGCCAGCTTCGACCTCCTTTATACCTTAACAGAATCTGAAAGCCTCGTATACTTCGGTTCATGAGCACTGAGACGATGTTCGGTGCCAGTTGCATTGTCATAGACCAGACGATCATGGGAAGAACAGTTCTCGTGATGAATAGAATTCTTTAACATGACAGGTTGGTGTACTTCATGCCATGTGACTAGCTCGGATGTTCATACAAGAGGTTATCGGAAATGGAGTGTGAACGATATTTCACTCGTCAGATCTTCGATCGATGGGAAATATATAACAGACAGTTTCGGTGTAAGTTGCGATGTCCACAGCTATAAGCCATCAATGGACTTCATCTGAACCAACGAGCTGACTCTTGATTAGAAGAAGTCCGAAAAAGGAACCCAACCAACAAATCGAGTGACAGTAAGTCAAGTTGCACACCCAAGGATGACCTCTGCACCGCAATTGAGATTTGTTCCTGATCACAGTGGGGGCTAAGACTGCTACCAGCACTGTCAACCACTCGAAATCCACAGATGACACAGAAGATGGCAACTGTGCATGCTTTCTTCTCGAGTTTCACAACCACAATTCTATCTGTGTAGTCCTTCTGTCACTTGAACAGACCGAGCAGTCTCTCGTGAGCATGAGCGACGCCAGTTGCATCAGTCAGAAGAGCCCACTTCAGTTTCGAAAACTCATCATCTCATGCTATCAAAAGTTACTGGATAGGAGCTGTCTTAAAATGCTAACCTCCCGTCTGACTCACTGTGATTACAATCAGAAAGCCTCTCAGCGACCGGTTGTGAAAGAAGTCCGCCAGCATGGTTTTCTTCACTTAGTGGACATTGAAACTCCTCCGCCTTTGTACCTGCATCAGCCACCATGGCCCCATATTAAGCTTAGTGAAGCAAAGGTATTCTTTGATGTAGCTGAAACTTTTCATCAAGTTGTAGATGTCTGAAGATTTCAGCAAACAAGAACGAGAATATGAACCCAAGAGAAGCTCACCTTACTAGGTTGCCCACAGATTCGCGAGGTTGTTTGGGAAGTGAAGCCATCCCAAATCCTACGATACAAGATGCCTAAAGTATCGAAGGGGGAGGACAATCACTCGACGGGCGAAGGCTCAAGAATGATCAACGGTATATTCTATGCACGCCTACATTTAAATCTGAGGATATTGAAAGAATCATGGGTAGACAATGATGCCAGACGGCCATAAATACACGCTTCGTGTGAGCATAAATAGTTTGAGCAGGTTCCCGCCCATTAAATCGGATGTCAAAAATGGGAATTTTCGGGTCTGCCGACCCAGATGCCGTGTAGTAGCCATCAGGTGACCAGGACTGAGTGATGAGAGCAGACTGCGTATCGCTGCTTTCTTGGACCCATCCAAATGTGTGCAATTCTGTCTTGGCACGGATGTCGTATAAGTGTAGTTGCTTGCTTGGTGTTCTGCAAACAATATCACAGATAAAACAAAGAGGATTAATTCGTAAGTAGAAGGCTGGAAATTACATATTCCCGAACATATCGAAGTCCACCGTCCAGGGATGTAGATCAGTTCTATATACCTGGTGTTAAGGGGTCCACAGAAGAGAGGTAGCAGGACCAGGAGAAATAAACTTTACTGGAAAAGATGAAAGACGAGAAGAAAGTGCAAAGTTTTAGTGGTAGTTCAGACTTCAACACCAAGGATAAGGACGCCTACCCGGTCTGCACCATGAAAAGGTTGAAGTCAGCAGTATTCGGCAGGACACTCATCGCTTTACTGTCCAGCTGATGCTGAAAAGTCATTCGATTTGAAACAGGATCGAATCCAAAAACTCGTTTATCACAGCCAGCTGACAGGACAAGCTGTTTGTGTTTTGTGCCTGCAACCCCCATCACGGCGGAAGTGTGGAGGCTTTGATGTAAAACTTTTGGTTTCCACTTATCTTCGCCTTCGTCCTTCCACATCACTACCATATGATCGCTTCCTCCAGTTACAAACTGAGAACTGCTCCAAGGCATAAAAGATATAGCATTCATGATGCCCTTGACATGAGGTTTACCCGGCAAGAAGTTAGCCACTTTCTGCAAAGCCATCGTGTGCTCTCGTTAGGATTCAGAACCTAATGCTGCTTTCAACTGCAATAAATTTTTAGACATTCCTGGTAAACTGATCCAAATCCATTGGGAAAAAAAAAGGTTGCAATAGTAGACTGTTGCAATGCATTTCCCAGGATGTATCGAGCCAGAAAAGCAGCCAGAAGTTGAGCAAACGGCAAGGCTTTGGAGTTCAATCTTATCGCAGATACCACCTTAGCAACGAAAGATACTGACTTTTTTCGTGTCGTTTTTTATTATGGCAACTTGAGAGTCGTGATGATCCGCTGTATACACAGCAAAAATGCTGTGACCCTCAGGATGCCAGGCCATGTCTTCGGGCCAATGCCTTTGTCCAGGGGAGAGGCAGTCGACAGCGTATCGGAAATTTATATCCAAGCTGAAAGCATACAACGTAATTGTGTAGAATAAAAGAATTAGGACACTAGGAGGAGGGGTGGGCGTATAATTGCAAAGTTCCAGACATAACTATCTTCTTAATTAGGATATGAAATTCTTCACAGAGAGGCGACTTATTCGACACAACACAACTTCAAAGAATGCAGACATGTAACAATATGAGAGAAGGCTGAGGTGATACAAGACCTGTTCAATAGAATAATTCTTGTTAAAACTTCTTACCCTTTAGCATGAATTTGCCAGAAGTTGACTATCCCATCAAGTCCACTGCACGAATAAAGAGAAGTTGTGAGGTAAATCTTAAGCATGCCTTTTATAAAGCATAAAGAGATTATGTGAGAGAGCAATATTCTAAAAAAAAATAAAATTGGCCAACGACAGACAAGCAAGTCCTTTTCACAGCTATACTCATATTTGGCTAAAGAGCTACAAGCTTCCAAGCAATAAACAATGACAAACATGGATTGTGATATAAGAATTCATAATTTTAATTAACCCTCTACAAAACATGGAGAAACATCTTGGTGAAGATTCTAAGACTTGGAAGTGGCTGCTGCCAGTACAATCATACCTTGTTGCACACTGATTTTCGGTAGCGGGATTTAAAATCAAGCTCCTCATCTTCCGCCTGTGCTGACTGGGGGTGAAAAGAGGGCTGTGAATTGGCACTGGTTGCGCCTTCTTTTGACTTCTTATCTTCATAATCAGGTCAACATGCTCTTTAGGAGCTGGAACTGCCGGAGCTGGAGGGTTCGGGGGTTTTTGAGAAGTTTCTCCACCTTCATAATCAAGAATGAACCGTTTCAGATGCTAAGTCAAAACTTACTCAGAGAACGGCATTCTTAACCTTCTTCATGTGAAGCTATAACTTGCAAGAGTAACCTGTATGTAAATGAACACACCCGAACGTACCTGATTGTTGATAATGATTAGATCGGTCTTTTGCATCTACATCAGATGTTCCTCTTGCTCCTGAACTCTCGTGCTTATCTCTCCTATCTCGTCTATCACCTTCTTGTCGGTCCCTTCCTCCGGAACTGTCTTTCCTGTCTCTTCTATCGACTTCACTTGCTGATTTTCCTCCACCACTTTCTTTCCTTTCCTTTCTATCCTGTTCGCCTTCTGATCTTCCTCCGGAGCCGTCCTTCCTCTCCCTTCTATCGGGTTCGGACTTGTTTCTTCTACTTGGACTCGACTTTGCAGGCCTTTCATGACTGCCCTGATGCCCAGATGACACATGGTTGCCATCCTTACTAGGTGTTGAGGCATTACCAGACCTTGAACCATCATTATTGCCCGCTTTATCTCCAGGTTTGGCATTGATGCTGGTCGGCCAAGGTTTAGACTTTGTGTGTCCATTTTCAGGTGTACGTTCAGTAGGCCGCTTTTCCTCCCCATCCTCACTGTTACCAGATCGCATTTTCTCTAAAAGAGTTTCAGCTAAGGCAAGTTTAGTCTTCGAATCCTTTAACTGCACAAAGAAGAAATATAAGCATATTAAAAACTGCCCAAGAGTGTATGAAATCTGGTCAGCAGGAAAGACACTCAGCATGAATTGCAAATACACATTCTGCTCTGATTAGATTGATCTGATTAGATTAGATTAGACAATTCCAAAAACAATGAGGAAGGTGGTGAAATCGACAATTTAATTCTGCTCTAATCTCGGCAGACAATTCAATATTAACTGCACAGAATTCAAGTCAAAACTAGACAACAATCGCCGGCTGTAGAAAAACTTCCCTGTTCAAATCATGAATGACCAAACAAAAACTTGATTACTTGACAATTGACGTTCAAGATTCTGGGTGTCAATAAACCTCTGAGTTCTGCTCAAAAGAGAAGATGATCGTCCAGGGAAAACCCAATTGAAAGCGAGGGTTTATCCAATTCTACAAGGAAATATACACAATGTTTCAAGAATCGACTGCAGTCGGTCAGCTGACGAAGAACGAAGGACCAATTGTGACATGAGAGTGCCTTCGAAATTCACAGGAACAGGTGTATCAGTCGAATTTAAGTTAAATTGTATAGAAAAAAAACAACCTGAGTTTCGAGAGTGTGAATGCGGGAGACAAGCAACTTGACATCCGATCTGCGCTTCTTCACTAGAGCCAACAACCCTTCCTCTTCTTCGGCCCTGTCGATATCCTCTTGCCGGGATCGCTTCAAGGGAGGTCCAGTTTCATCCGACATTGGAGGCTCCTTCCGCTCCATTTCCTCCCAAATTCGTTCAATCAATTCTTCCGCTTCCCTTTCTCCCTCGCTCTTTACAGTCGATAGCCTCCTTTAGCAGTCTGTAAAGAGCTTCCAAGGACCAGAATCTCCTATGCACTCATCTCTCAGTAGGAATGATTCACCCAATCAAACCCACTTGGACATCGGCAAAAAATTTCATGCCGGAAATTCACTGATGCACAGTGCACAAGACGCTAAACTGACTGAACTGAATCGTACACATCAATCTCTGCACACAACTCTATGTGAGGGTGTCCTCACGGAAGAGCTGCTGGCATGAGAGGAACTCCAGCAACCTCTACGCTGCAAGTAGGATTCATAACAAATACGTATAGCAGCCACTGAACACCTCGCCTCGCTCTAAACAAGCACTAGCGAGCATCTTACCGCATCCTGAACTAAACACGGAGCACTGGTGATTCCCATGATGCCTTCAGATCGAGTCCCTGAATCCGATCCCAACCAAATGGTTTAATTAAGGGGTGCGGTTTATTGTACAAGCTCAACTATATTCCAACATTGCAACAACAGTGGCAGCATGTGGTCTAGCTAGCTGATTGAAAATCTCTCCACAGATTCACAGTCCTGTTAACACGAAGAGCCTAATGCTGCTGCTGCTGCAACTGCTGTTCTTGTGACCTCACTCTTTCTCCACCACGGCCCTCGAGGCGGGTCCGAGATCTCGTCACGAACCGACAAGGTCCGTGTCCAACATCTTCGCAACTTGCTCATGAATCCCATACTCTTTTCATGCCGTACTGCAGTACTGCAGTACTGAGACGCTCTCGACTGTGACGTGGTCGACTTCGCGTGGTTGCATCCCCTCTCTGCTCCGCTGGGGAGGGTGGGATTCACAAGCCGCTCGTGAACCACGGCGGCAGGTAACGAAGTCCGTAAAAGGGCCAACGTGGTTGGCCTCCGACAGGGTGGGGGTCCGACGGCCGTTGAGAACTCACTCCTCGTAGCGGCGTTGGGAGGAACTTCGAGCCGACTGTGAAAGCATGAGCACCATAACCAACCACGTAGGATGTGGGCAGCTCAATCACCTCTATTCGACGCAGTTATTTTTTGTTTACGTGGTTATCCTCGACGGGGCTTCGTACTCTAGGGGAGGAGGGCTTGGGCTTGTCTGATCCGAGGCGGGGTATATGCAGCGTTCCCGCCATCCGCTCGCCCACCGACCGACAGCCAGCGGCGCCGTGCTTCTGCTTCAGCGTCCGTCCGTCCGCCGGAGTTTCGGGCCGATGTGCCACCAGGGTCTGGGGCTCTGCACTAAATTCCAAAGTCCTTCTGACCGGCGCCTGCGGATCTCATCCGGTCATCAGACCGACGCTCAGCAGGCTCGTCACCTCCGGCCGCGGCGACGATAAGCCTTTCCCGTGCGGCTTTCCGTGAAAAGGACGGAGTTGCGTCACATGTGGGCCCCACCTTTGACTATCAGAGACAAAACCAGCTGCCCCTGTCTCGATCATCTCCCAAAGCAGTAACATTCTATTTAATTTAATTCTCTCAAAGTATCTACGCATTCTACGCATACAAATTAAACAAATTTTTGAAACAAAATTATCCGCTTTCGATAGAACGAAAAACACACAATAATTAATGAGAATAATTCAAAAATAAATAATTTTTTAAATTAAATGCGTTGTTAATGTAGGTAATTGATAAAAATACAATGTCAACGGCTCTGTTATAAATTGATCTGGTGTAAGAAGTAAGGTTCGGAGATTAACCATTTTATTTCAGTCACCTACATTCCCTACTGTTCGAACAATAGAGATTATAGGAGATTGAAATAAAATGACAGATTAATAATATTTTATGGAAACTTTCGGATGTGACAAAAGGCCATGGATGCGGCCAATGTCTTGTGAGTTTCGATGTCGATCAATGCCCAGTTTAGAGTGCCTGGAAGAGATAAATCGTTCTAGATTTCACCCAGAGCAGACGCTTTCTGAGAGCTGATGTACCAATGACAAATAATTTTCTTTGAAATACTCTCACATTAATCCAAAACCGTCCACCTCATGTAACCAAAACTCTTTCGCTCTGATCACCTGAAATGAAATGTTTTCTGGTCATAAAGTCTGAAAAAAAAACGAATGGTTAAATAAATGTGAAGATTTTTTTTTAAAAAGAAAATTAAGAGAAAGGGTGAAGATGCCAAACGCTAAGCATTCAGATTTCCTTACACACACAAGATATGCTTGAATATATATGTTAGTAAAATAAACGACTCTTCTGGTGTAGTTAAAAAAATATTAAAAAAATATAGCTTACATGAAAATCAAATCTAAACCTAGAACAAAAGTACTATTACACTCCACACATTTATTCTCGTAGGAAAGAGATAATATTATATGCGCAGTAATTTTATGTTGGAATTCTATCAGAACTGCTCTTTGCATCTTACAATTTGTGCAATAACTCTTGTGATCCATTTTCTCCGCATATTATATATATTGACACAGTTTCCTGCAGTCAATTATTTTTTTCATTCTATACGACTTCGTATAAATAGTCATACTTTTGAAATTCTAAGACATAGACAGTCTTTTCGAAAACCCTATTCATACTTTCACATACAGAACCATTTGAACCCGAGTTAATAACTCTTTACCATACATTCCACATCAAACTCTTCAATACATAAAACCTCTTTGAATTTGATACTTGTCAAACTCCAAGAGTCTTTTCTAAGAATTGTTGATGTGATTTTTAAAACTCTTCGAATTTCATGTAGCAATATTGGAATAAGCCCAAATACAAGAAAGGAAGAGAAGGACGTTAACATCTACATTCTACGATAAATTGAATATTATGAAAAGGGAGTTTATTTACAGAGATTTCAACTGCGTGAGTGTAAATTCAAGGTTATACTTTTGAGAAGATTATATGTATATTTTGTTGAAAGATCATCATAATGGATATGTATGATCATGTAGATAGGTATAATCTCGTATCCATATGTTTAATTGTCTCTTGAAACCACAAATCTTAATGTTTCGGAGTTCAAAACTTCGAACATTCACACTAAAAGCTTTAGAAGTGATACTCGTTGGAATTGAATACTCAATAATAGTCCACATTTCGAAAGTTATCATGAACTTGTTCTGCCAATTTTTTCACCACTTGTGAAGAGCTATAGAAAGATTCGTCAATTAAGACAACTTTGGTTGAAACATGAAATACAAGCCCTCTAGGAATGATATGGCCCTTTTAGAAGGATATGAAGTATATCATTAGAGGTTAAATTCTGTGATTAAAATGCATGGAGTTTCCAATATGAATACTGTGTTTTCATCCATTCATCTATTTGCAGTGCCATAATGAGGTTCGGAGATGATTCATTGCTCTAGTGGTTTAGGGTTAGGTTAATAAACTCTACAATAACCTTCGTTATATTAGTGTTAGGTAGTGATGTATTGTTTGAATTTTGACAAAAAATTTCAAAATCTGTGTCTTTTAAGTTTCAAATCTTTTAATAAACTCTCTACTAGCATATTATTCTCTTTCTGGCTTTTCAATTATCATTATAAGAAGGTGGAGTTCCTTATCGACTTGGAATTATCACCCAAATATGAGAAGTATTAGTGAAAGTAAGTAGGAGGTGAGCGAAGCCGCTTACCTTTCAAGGTTTGAAAGCATACAACAAATAACTGTGGCTTTAGACATCATCATGTATGAGGTTTGTGCTCAGCACTTCAATAAATTGACGCTTACAGACAATCATACATGACAATAGAAAAGGTGAGAGAATGATACGAATTGATTTACTACATTATAATAAGATGGTTGGACACTCGTTGCTATTCACCGTGGACTCTTAAGCACAAATGAGTTGCAACAGCCAAGGCGAATGTCTACAGAACGCAGCAAATGATCCATTGATTATACACTACAAACGGTGGTAGATGATTGCCTACCAACTTTTCAAAATTTGTGGACTTGATGACCTCCTAATGTACATTACAGATATACCCAATGGAAAGGATCCAGTGCTTCTCCATTTCTCCTGACTGCATCGCCACACAACCCTCACAATGTGTCAATCCGATACTTTGCTAAGTACGTCAAGTTTCCTTCGATATCAAGAGAAAGATGTCTCAGCAGGATGAACATAGACATGCCACCTACTTTCAAAGATAGTCAGTACACGTTCACTGAAATTTCATGCATCCAAACATGGAACTGAAAACTTACCTTCAAAATGTAGATGAGGACCAGAGGAACGGCCTGTAGATCCCACAGCAGCTACATGTTGGCCCCGGGCTACTTGCTGTTTACACGGTAAATACAAAGTTCATCAGCATGCCATTCGAACAGGATATCAGTGATTTTCTTACACATCATCATTTCATTATCCATACATTGAAAAAGGGCTTGAAGACAATTGCTCACCTGCCCCACGCGAGCATGGATAGAACAACAGTGAGCATATCTGGTGATGAAACCTCCTTCATGTTGGATGGCAATGAGATATCCATATCTACTGAAAGGCATGTCAAAGTCATGCAGTCAGACTTGAAAGAAACACACGACAATTGTCTTACTAAGCGTGTAAATTGGAACCTAAAATGACCAACGCTGAACCCTTGCAAGTATACCCAAATGACCTGAAGTGATCGACATGTACGGAAAAATTCGTGCGCATGTCGCAAGTTAATACTCCAATCATTCAACATCACAAAGTCACTCAAAGATGAAGCCGGTTTAGAATAGTTCAACTACGTACCCGCCACTCCAACCGGCGAAGGTAACAGTTCCTTTATCTGATGCAAGAATTGGAGTCCCTTGGTCTGCGGCCAGATCAACTCCCTGAAAACATTGACCAATCTCAATTGCTTAAGACCAAGACCCTTCAAGGTGATTAATTGATGATAGAAGACTATTGTTCCTTCTAGTAAATTCCGAGATAAACCTTGAATCTAAGGATAACAGAGCGAAACGTAAGCATTGACTCACAACACCGCACCTCATGAAAAGCGCCCCATCGCCACCCAAAGGGGCTGCTCACGAAACTGCAGGAGAGATGCTTGAGTTAGAGGCTGTGAAGGCACAGAAAACATTCCTTGTTTTGTAGATAGAGCCGGCGAAAGCTATTATAATCAGTTGAATTTTTCAAATTCATGGCAGCAAACAAAAGGTTCTGAGGCAGATCATGTGAAATCATGTGAGATCTATAGTGTTATAGGGCAGACCACATTTAAGGACAAAAGTGACGTCTGAACTCTCTGATGTACTTATATCCATGGTCATACCCTTCAGTGAGGGGAGCTGTAAATCGCATCCACTTTTCCTCCACCTGAAATCCTTTCTTCCTTCTCTTCCATCGACCTGTTTCATGTCCAGCAGCCATTAGTGTGAAAAAGGAAACAATTCTGAACATACGCTACAGGAGAAGCTCTAGATAATCAATAACATCTCAGCCCATCAGTTCCTCAAACAAAATGACCCATCCGAGTAAAATACATTCGTTACTCATAATGTCCTGAACTGTAATATGCTTTGAAAACATGTAATGTGTAGTAGGGCCTATACGATTTCCTATCAAACTCCTGCTTCAGGACATGCATTTTGCACACAAAAAATTGTGAAGTCACAGCATTTCAACCTTCTGTCTTCAATCCACCCTTGAAGGACTCGCTTCTGGCCAGCTGCTTTGGACCACCAACACCTAGTCCTCCAAGAACCTGCCTCGAGAACAGAGGTCGATTGGTTCTTCTCCTCCCAGGCCGCAAGTCAGCTGGATCCATCTTGGAAGGTCCTGTTACGAGTGCCCAATAAGCATCGAGCATGGTTGTTGATTCATAGTCAAGACTTGAAATTCCATTTCGTTTAGGTCAAGGAGCAAGACTGCCGAGGGAGCAGAGGAAATATTCGGCAGAGAGAAAAACAGTTGTCCCTTAGTTTGCAATATTACCTGAGCTCACAGCCAAGACATCGCCCTCAAAGATCACGTCATCGCGTAGGTGATTTAAACGCTGAAGTTCCCTTATGGTTAAGCTGTATCACATGACAAAGATCAATTAGAACAATCATGAGGACTACACTATGGAGCCATTCTCACTTCCTCGGCCATACGTGCAGGAAATATATACAGACTATCTTCACAAATAGGAAGTCACAAGACAAGTCTAAACGCTAACCGCATCTGACGTTGTCGAAAGTACATACCCATTTGTATAGGCGATGTCTGCTAAAGTGTCCCCATACTGAACCTTTACTGTTTTCGGAGTGAGGGATTTCAGATTCTTGTTTTTCAATACGGGGAGCCGAACTTTAAAAATCGGATTAAACGACAGAGGCGTTTTGAGAAAAGTGTCAATCCTCACTCCCTCAACTGCTGCGTTCCTTTCTGGCACACTTGCTTTTCTCCCTAGTGACATTCGTTGCTCGAAAGCTCTCGACCTTTCAATCTTCAGGATGCTATTTACCAACAAACAAAAGGATCCACGTCAGTCGAAGTGAACCATGAATAGGCAAAATCACACATTCCGGAAAGTGAAATAACTGCCAGAACCTCAAAATCACATGGAATCACCGCACCGACAAGGCTAACTGCACATTTCTACCTTCAGAGAGATGGAAGGGAGCGAACCTGCCAGTGCAAATAACGTCATCCTGTAGATTATTGAGTTTCTTAATTGATTTCACAGAAGTACCAAACTTCTCGGCGAGCCATTCCAAGTTGTCGCCTTCTACAACCTTGTATTCTCTCTCCTTCTTCCATAGGACCTGACTCAAGAGGACCAACGCCTTGCTCAGAGTAAAAATTTCAGGCGGGTGGCCGAGCGACACCACAGCCTTTGTTGGTAAATTGCTCATTCCAGGATCGATTCCAGTGCTCAATGAAGCCCTTCCCGAAACGTCACTCTGAGGTGTTGTGCCGATAACCGTGGGCGGGCAGGGAACTTTGATGCGAGTACCAACTTTCAAGCTATTTGGGTTGAAAATATTTGGATTAGCCTTCAATAACGATCTGCATATTACGAGTGACGTCAGAAACTTCGAAGACTAGCCTTACTGGTAAGTCAGAAATAAGACAGATCACTTTTAAAGAAGTGTGATTCACACTCAGTAGAGTGTGGAGTGGAGTGTGAATCTCAGCTGAGCTAACTTAGAATTAAATACCATATCATAGATAATTCACTTCGAGATATACTTGAAGTATTTTGGCACTAGTTACACGTACGTCCATTCTCTGATCGCCAGCAAATCAAACACTGACAAGATTTCCAGGACAAAATTGTCTTTTAAGGGTAGGCCCCACACTGCAAGAGCTCGAATTCAAATAATGTTACACCAACTGGCAGTACCTGACATCGACATTGTACCGGCGGCCAATGTCGTGCAGCCAGTCGCCTTTCTGCACTTCAATTTCGCAAAAATCTTCAGCTACAAAACCCGTCGATAATGTAACAGACGCGAAGTTCAATGCAATCTCCCGCGTTGCCGATAGACGGACCCCTTCTGAGCTATTCGGCCAAAGCCATTCCCACACCATTATGCAGATCACTGCAGAATCTCCCACCGAGTAGAACTCCGAACCATCGCCCACTGGAATCCAACCTCGGCCCTCTAACACGGAAAACTGAGAATGGATCTCACTCTTGAGCCAAGAGCCTTACTCACTACCGCCTTCTCACACGAGGCGAATTATCCAGTCTCGACCAGTCTCGTAATTGACAGCTAAATTCAAAAAAAGCAACGAGATTGCTGAAACAGTAACAAGGCAAGAAACAGGCCGGAAGCATTCGCTGGAACCGTAATCGCCGAAGTCCAGAATTCAACCTGTCTCCCAAATCCACTGCTCTCCGACACAATCCACGCCTACAACAACAAAGGATTCCGGACCAGCATTGAGAATTTCCAGGCGTGCTGCATTCTTGCTCCACTCTCAGACTCTCAGACAGAAACGATGCACTAGCGAGGCACACAATGAGGTCCACAATGCCCACTCGATTCAGACGTGCGTGATGATGGTACAGAACAAGCCCTTGGCGGCGGTCAGGAAGGAAGAAATCGAATCGATTCTCGGTCTGCGAGCACGCTTTCGGTCGACGAACGACAACAAGTGGCTGCTTCCAACGGACCGCCCGATTGACCGACGACTAGTTCGAAAAGCAGGATCGTTGCCCGGCTCGCTGCAACAACAGACGTCGTCGACTCGAACTCCTCCCCGTCCTCGTCGTCGTCAACGCACTTGCCGTGCCCGGAGCTCGCAGTGCCAAGGCATCGGCATCGACAATGCGTGCAAACAACCCTCAAACCGCGACCATCTCCCATTCAGTCCATGAGACTACGGCGGAACGGAGCACCTTCCGATCCATGCCGACACCGCGACTCGACTCTGCGTCGCTTCCGCTCCTGCCGGCACGCCTCAGCTCAAGCACTCAAGCGATCGTGAGCTCGGGGGGAATCCATGTGGGATGCTCCGGGTCCACCTCACCGGATTCGCACTCACTCCTGCTGCGGATCTCATCCAAACTCCGTTCGATTTTGCCTCCTCTTTGCCGCACCCTAGCCATGGACGAGGACAGACATCGCCGCTCCGATTGCTCCACGGGGTGTCCATCCACGAACCCTCGCCATGTCGGGGACGAAGAATCCTCGGGGATTCACATCCGCAGCGAGGGAGGGAGGGATGGCGGAGGGCGGATCTGGCTGCAGCAGTGGCAGGAGCAGTTATTGCCGGAGATTTTCGGGCCCCGGTGGATGTTTCTTGGTTCTGCCAGAGCTCAGATCGTCCGTCGCTCTCGTGACCCGGTCGCGGGCAATCATTTCCGTCGCGCGAGCTCGCGATTCTCTGAACATTCCGATCTCGATTCGGAAATATCTGCAGAGAGCAGGAATTCCCGAAGTCTCGCGCCCTTCCCGGCGCTCTTCCCGTGACTTCTTCCCGCAGCGGGCTTTGGTTCTCCCTCCGATTTGAAACCCCGGCCCCAGCAGTATCTGCAGCTGGGCTGGAGAAGGACCCGTTGTCGATGGTGACACATCGTCTAGATTTTACGGCCCAACACAAGTTTGGAAGTGTACTTTTTGGGAGGCACTTCGGAGTGGAAACGGATATATAGGTTTTTGGATCAAATATAATTATTTTTTCGGAAATTCGTAAAGTTGCGTTAGTTTTGCCCTTATTGTATTCTGATTAAAAACTGAATGGACGTACAGCACGCCAGCCATTTCGTGATCTTTATGTATCAAGAGGATTTAGGAAGGAAAAACGTGTTGATGATATATTTACTCAATCTGTCATTGGCAGGACTAAGTAATAGTGTCAATTGTGCCAAAAATGCCACCCCGTGCCACTATTAAGTATACTTGGCGCACTCCGTGAAGTGCCATGGAACTAGGATGGCGGAGTGCACTATTGACTATTCGATTTCTTGGCTTGTGCTGAGTTATGCATCCAAAGAAGTGAACTACTCCATTCCAGAATGGACAACATGTGACATACGGTCTACGGGTGACTGATGTTGATTCCAAAAAGAATTTGGCTTGCTGTGTTGTTTGCCTATTTTGTGAAATTTTTTGGTAAAGAAGAACACCCAGGAAGTAAAAGAAAGGCAACAAGGAATGTTCAGTACTACACAGCTCCGTTTAGGCATGAGAACTACCGCAAGCACAACGAGACACAACACAAGTCCAATTGAAGGGAGTATTAAGCACTTGCGGATGACAAGAACTGCAGCTTCTTTGATTGAGTAAAGCCAATCAAGAGTACTCTCCCATCCACTTTAGGTTGGAAACTACAACGCTACTCTTCAAAATTAATGTGGTCATTGTCGATACGAACATTGGCAGCATGTATTTTGATGTTAGCGATGAATCTGATTCGGATGAAGAAGCCGACGAAGTGGAGGTTGCTCTTTGCAAAGATGGTTGATGCCGTCCAGACCTGATGCCTTCGGAAATCTAGAAGTAGGCTTTGAGTATCTTTGTTCCAGTCCAAGATTCTTCTCCAAAGAATAATAAAAATGCTCTTGTTATTGCTTATAAGGTAGCGATCAAGAACGGCTACTTCCTTGACATGGTAGTCGAGTTCACTTCCCTTGATTCATCCTTTCGCCTCACTTCTTGCCTTGCTCAGTCAGCGAAGGAACTCACAGGAATGGCTTGCTACTCTAGTTGCAACCGTTGCAAGGTCTCATCATTCCTTCGATTGATGTGTGGTAAATGGTAAATGGTAAATAGATCAAGCCCGTGGGACCCAAAGGGTCAAAAGCTAAAAAACACAATACAAACAATCCAACTCCAAACTAGGAGAGAACCAAAAGAACCCCCTAGCTAGATGTGCATCGAACCTGTAGATGCTTTCTGAACTTCTTACCAATTTTTGGGCTTTCTCGCTGGCATTGGATGGGGTTGCACATCAAAGCACATCTTATCTTAACATTTGGGTTCCGTTTTGGACCAACGACAACATCCACAACTTTCACTTGCTGGCTCTGCCCATGAACGAGCGTCACATGGGGCAATCAATGTTCGACACGATCGCAAAGGTGTTGAATGTGATTCATCCAGCACCTTGATTGGTGGAGAGACTCCTTGATTGGCGTTGCGACCGGATGGAGCGAGAAACATGACTAGACGGCACGTCGGTCTGGTAACCTTCTTCGACAATGCCACTAGGCCCAATTTTATCATGGTCTGGTGTGGTGCACACCAACTTGACCTCTTCATGACCCAGGTCTATCAAAACTTGCTCCAAGACAATTTCTGTTATGTTCTCGTGACCCTTATTGGTTGCATGCGACGCTAGCAAAATCTAATTGCTGAGATGAAGACGACATGCCCGAAGGTTGCCATTACACGTTGGCTTTCTATGATCAAGATCATGATCTGGTTCAAGAAGCACAGTATCGCTGTTCATGCGTATTTGGTCAAGAATCTTCCTGCAGCCATCTGCAGCCTGGTGGATGCTTATGATGACAGTTCATTCTTTTGCACAAGAAGCATCACTGATGTTCATGCGCCTCCAGGGCATGACGACTTTGGTGTCCCAGCAAGTGATTGAGTTGTTTAACCTATCGCATACGTTCTGGGAGTTGGTGGGGGGTAAAGTAGCACTGCCTCAGTCCAAGCTGCAAGCCATGGCAGAGGCAACAGCTGATTATGGTGATCATGTCACGACTGAGAAATTTGCAGCGACTTTTTCGATGTTGAGCAGTTCGTTTGAGGCCTTGGAACTTTCGTGTCTTCCAAGCTCGAAGAGATTCCAGCCGAGAACGGCGTGCGACTTCACGTTCTGACTCGTTGGCGTTTCTTTTAGCGGCTTTGCAGCTTATGTCAATCACTGTTGAGCGAAACAGTGCCAATGAGCAAGCTTTTGCCAATGATCAGCTTCCACCAGTTATGCCGCACGAGCTTGTTAAGTACATGCAATCCCAATTTTATGCCATTGTTCGCAAGCATATCCTACAATTGCAGGCAGCCAAGTTTACACCGCAGCAGATCGAAGACATTGAAGAAGAACATGGAAAGCTTATTCGATGCTACCATGCCGAGGAAAACTTGAAATTAGCAATCAATGTCTGCGATCATAAGGCTTCACTACGGTCTAACCCGGCACTTCAACAGTGGAAGCAGATTTCTCCAGGCTGAGGTGGCAGGCACAACTTTTCTGATTTTGGCCTTGAGTGTGTACTCCATGCCCAGCAGCACAAAGAGCTGCTGAAGTGTTGCTCTTTATATGGAGTTTATATAGTGCCACTTTCATGCCACTAATAAAGATTTGGACATGCCACTATTACCTCAATATCGTTACCAGTGGCAAATGCCACTATTTCTCATGCCTAGTCATGCGGTTTCTTGATCATACATTTGTGAGGTAATTCTGATAAAGTTTTGATATTTTGTTGGTGAAATCATTTGCACATTCAAAGTAAAGTATCAAGGAATTTTGTCGGGTTATAAAACGGTTCCACGTGAATGGTCTAACAGACCATCAACGTTTTTCTGTGCGTAGACTCTTCTAACTTTGCAAATTGATTGAGATATGTTAAGAAGATTTTTCTTTTCGTGCTACATTCGGATCAATGATGTATGCTTTGTCCTACTTGAAATTTCTGTGCAAGCTTTTATTCCATTTGTGGAACGCCATATTGAATACTACTCGGTTCACTGCGTCCAGGCTAGGTGGCTCTGTCGGTTCTATGTGTTAAAAGGGTAGGTTGTAGTGATCGACTGTTGTAAATGATCATGGTTTTCTGTGTAATACTCGGTATTTCACCTGTAATGATTGACGAGTGCAAGTACTTGCTGATACTGTGTTTACCCTCTACCTTGTATGATAACAGTTTAATCACACCATGCCCTCTTGAGAGACAAAGATAAGCTTCCCCTATACTCGCCATTGAATGATAACTACATGCGTTGGGTCAGGGGGGCACGTGCACGTATTGAGTTCATTCTGATGTATATTTTGGCCCCGCCAGTGACTGCTGATTAAATTTCAGCTAGTTTTGAATCAGCATCAACTGTCTTCCAGCTCAGAAAATGCGAGCATGGCATGTTTCAGGTATGTAAATTGAGACAATTCAGGAACAGAGTGCTTTCGATGTTCGTGGTATAATGGGCATCATCAGACTTCGAAGCTGACCTGCTTAACATTTGATTGGCATGGGCATTGGTGGCTGAGAAGGTGTGGGATCCAGACAGGAATTGAACAGTCATATGGTACGTTCACTGTTACATCGAGAGATGGTCTTTGAACAACGAATGTGCTACGAGTGACTCAGACTTTCGAATACAGAAAAAAGCCCTGGTCAAGGACGAGAGTGAGAAGAGAAACATGGATCCGGCAGAAGACTTAAGCATAGTTTACAGGTGTTACAAACGACGGTACTACATACCTTTACTCTCGCAAGGAATTAAGGCCTATACGCACGTACTCTTCGACCAATTTCTTCACATGGGTTGAGGTGACAGACCAATGCTCCGGTGAACCAATGCAACAACCTTTTGCGAGACAACAGAGCGGAAGGCGTCTTATGCGACTCTTCGAGCATTTTCTCAACAAGAGGAGAAAGGCGACGCAAAGACGTACAGCACTGAAGAAACCAAGTACCTTATCAATGCCTTCGCTATTGATCTTTGGAGAGATATCAAAACACCCAGGAATTTTTCAGTGCAAATCACTCCTTCCCAGCGTAATGGAAGGTCCCTTTGACAGAAAACATTATTGAGCACAGCTGTTGGGAGAAAGGTCAATACAGAGGCCGACCATTTCATGGCGGAGCCTGCAATGCATCCATCCAACCCTGAGAGAACAAGCTTTGCATTGGCAGAATGTTAAATATGGCTCCATCAACCAGATGGAACTGCACAGAAGTGATCATTCAACCTGTAGTGTCAGGGAGGAGGGTACCAGGGGCCCACTGTCCCATTCAGATGTCCATTCCCATGGACATTGACTCCATTTGGAATTGCCGAGGGCATCCCCAACGCCATGGGTGGAGGTGTACCATACATGCCTAAAGGTGGCGGGAGAGGTGAGTGATTCCCTAAAGAATCCATATTCACCACCAGTAGCTCCCCTCCACCTTGCCTTCGTTGCTGCAAGGTACGTACTTGTCGAAGTCCCTCGTCGTGTATTCTTGCCAGTGTCTCCAGTTCGCTCATGGACAAGGCCTCCAGACCTGCTCCATATAAGGGAGCATGCCGAGACATTTCTTCCTGAAGAGATCCCTCCAGCGTTTGAATGTAATCCTGCACAAGATAGTAAGGGGTGTGGTAAAGTTAAACCGGCCCTCCTGTCTACTGTACCTATACGTTGCTTGGTATCAATGCTCCAGTTACTTGTGGTATCAAGAAGTATTATGCTAACCTCCAAAGCACTAACGCAAGCATGGGATTGATGCTGTTGGTTGAGATAAGTCCTACAAAACAGAATCTTCCTTCAGAATCTTCCAGCATCCTACAGATTCGTCTAGGTCTGGTGGAATGTTCTCAACGAGATAGCCTCTCTACTCTTCGATATAGGAATGCTACAATCCCAGCTCATTAAGGCCAAAACCTTTTCGGTGGTTCATTAAGGGTTGTCTTCTACATATTGTGGGATTAAATTGGAGGGAAACAAAAAGCAAGGAGTAAAGATCTAGACTAGAGAAGTAAATGGTGATGAAAGCTATCCTTGACCAAAAGAAAGCAGTGATAATCCACTTCATCTACAAAATGAGTTTCCAGGAAATAGATTGGGGCACCCATTGAGGTATTGAGTGAGGAGCTAAGCCCGTGGAATAGAAGAGGGCAAGTCAAGTATAACATGGCTATGTTTTAGACGACTAGCCAAGCCTTCGAACATAATAATGTTCGAAGGTTGCGTTCCAAGTTACACCCTAGCTTTCACACTTTCCTAACGCAGATCCGATTGAAAGTCTACTATCAGTTTGCCACAAATTGAAATAACTTGGTCGATGGCCACTCTTCACAGGGTAAATCTGACTGAATTATTGCAAGAGACGTAGCACACAAGAGCTTTTCCTTATCGTCACGATACGTTGTTAGCGTCTCTTCATTACGTAGAAAAAGAAATTTACCTGACAGGCGTGTAACTTGGCCTCCATCCCATCAATATACGCTTCACACCGCATGACCTGCTCTTCCTTTTCCCGTAATCCTCCCTCTGTTTGCCCAACAGTCTGCGTTAACCGTCGAACTTCATCTTCGAGAGACTGTCGTACTTCCTCCCGTGTGACTGTCTCAGTTGCGAATCGCTTCAGTTCTTCATCAAATCTTTTGCGAGCTGATTCTGCACTCTTTAATCTCTCCGCCAGTACGTTCTTCTCCTTCATAACTCTCTGTACAACAGGATTCATCAGAGAAATAAGTTAAAAGCGTATGTATCGTATGAACTTCTAGAATGATTCTATTCTATCGTTGGGCGGATAAGAGAGTTGATACTTTCTATCTGCATTTAAACGACCCTTTGCAGACGTCATACATACCTTCAATTCATCCCGCTTACGAGATTTGAGCTGCGCAAGCTGGGAGTCCGACTCTCGGAGTCGATCTTGGAGGGATTTCTTCTCGTTCGCAAGTTTTGCTATTTCCTCATCACGCTCGGAGCGAACCCATTCAAGTTGATTCTCGGCCTCTCTAAACCGTTCGGCAAGATCTTTCTTCTCCCGACCGAGCCGTTCTACTTCAGATTTCATTTCTCCCTGCAGAAAACGGCAAACAACCTGTGAGCAATCTACGCTTGGTTTGTCGGCATAAATCCCACACTGACAAAATCTAATGTGATGACACATTCAAAAATTCACGATGGGGTTTCTGAAGCAGCCCAGTTGGCCCCAAGAAATGTCTCACTACGGATTACTCATATGTGAAATAATTGAAGGTTCCGTATCTCAAGCCGTACAGATCAATACCTTCAATCGAACCTGAGCGGCGTCTGCCTCAGTTAATCTTTGTGACAATGAAGTCTTGTCCCTGACAAGTCGATTTATTTCTCCTTGTCTGTCAGTTCGGGCTCGATTAATCTCTTCTTCTGAAGTTCGCAACTGTTGCCACAAGGCATTGCGTTCAGCATTGGCAAGATCTGCAGTCTCTCGCATCATACTCAGAACGGGCCGCGCAGTGCCTTCTTCTTCTCTCACAAGAAACGTAAGAATGTCCATGCCAAGCTCAACTTCATGTGGACCACTTGTGCTGCTTGTTGCACGTTCTACCAGACCCCTCAACATTCGTTCACGATAGCCTTCATCCCCATATACTTTGAACATCACTGCATACAAAGTACTAACAAATTCTCTAACGCGTGTATCCCGAGAAAGTGCCAAGGCCTCAGCGAGACCTAGCACAGCTGGGAAATCGTCGTCGTCATCTGGTAGTGACAAACTCACTGCACCTGGTATCAAAGAATCTGGGGCCTGAGCAGCGCCCGTAGTGCAGCGTGAGTCCATGATCAGTCTTTGAGACCGGCGTCTCTCTAACACCATAACCACAGATTGCTCCCCAAATGCTCCCCTTGCGATCGCCCTCTCAAACACACGTTGTGCTTCCATTCTAAGGGATGGGACAGTTAGCATTTCGACCAAAATATCCACGTCTGCGACTCGCCAACAAGCTGCTGCAACCTGTTCTGCTGCAGCTGCCTGTAGATGCTCAGCTGCACCACCTCCATCTCGGTCAACGAAGACAAGGGCAGGTGCAGGAGAACTGATATCATTTTCACTGCATTCACAATCTGTGTCAATGTCTCTAAGAAGTGCTTCTGCCACATCTGTCCGGCTACATATAGTACTTCTGACAACATCCAGAACTCGAGGAGAAACAGCAGGCCCCAGCTTTTTAAGCCTTCCCCTTACCGCCATTGCCTGCATAGATAACCCAGAGTTAGAACTTCGAGTCCAATAGAGAGTGACTTAGCAGGAAAACGTAACCACTTTGTCCACAAATCCGAAAACATTCTGACAACAATGTTTCACCAACTCGACTTTGATAAACTTTAGCAATAAAGAGCATTCACGTTTCCACATACCGCTCGAGGTAACTGCTGACACTCAGCCGCGGCTTTGAATACGAAACTCATTACTGCTGCAAGAGGTTCATCCGTTGAGTCCGGTAATAGTTCAAGAGCCTGCTGCAACACTTGCTCCCATACATCACTCCCAACTTCCATTTGACTGAGAGCCCCAAGAACCTGGAAATGCAAAAGAGTTTCTTATGAGGTAGCCTAAATTTCAAAACACTCAGTTAACCCAGTCCAACCGGCCAACTTAAGAAAATCGGGAACCATGAAACTAAGTTCAATTCCCAAAATCTACTCACAACATGACCACGTGAGCAATGAGTAATAAGCTCAAATATGGATATCTTTGTATGAAAACAGCAGAGCCTCCTCCGATACGATGCAAAAAGAAAACAAATTCTGAATCCTTACAGGCAATCTCAAGGCAGTCTCTGAATCAGGTTTCTGCAGACGCTCAAGCAGAGCATAAGCCGCCAAAGAGTGCTCAGACAAGTCCACCAGCTTTGGCACCAGAGCGATCAGATCCGGCTGCAAATGCTTGGGGGCCTTCTCTAAAACCAAGGCGATTTTTTGTGCTGATTGAGGTCTTCGTCGAGGTTCCGGACAGCCTTGAGGAACTGCTCCATCAAGAGCTCTCAGAGAGTTCACTATCAGCCCAAGCAATTCATCTGACTGCTCTGGCCACTTTGGCTGCACCAAAACATCCAAAACATAATTTTGAGAAGCACGCATTATTAATTCCCGACGGAAATGAGAGGCACCTACTCTAGTATAAGCATGGAGCTCCTCTAGTGAAAAAATGGCAGGTCCAACGATTTGCTGCTTCGTTCAGAGGTTGGATCCCCAAAAACCTTGTGGGAATGATTAGCGTTCTCGGCTGCGGAGGGCTCCTGCGCAGAAGGTTCTGTATGCTGCTGAGGCACAGGCACAGCTGCAGCCCTTCCCACCGGCCCATCCAAAGCCGACGAGTCACTGCTTTGCACTGCCTGCGCACCTGCAACTCCATCAAGTCCAATCTCCAGCCGTTGATCTACAAGGTTGACGCCATTCTCCCTCGTATCTAGAGCTGCACCACCACTTCCGCCTCCGCCTCTCCAATCAACCCCACTTTTACTAGGGGCTGGGGTGACCTCAGAAAGCCCACGAACTTTGACTTCTGCAAATTCCGTACTCTTCTTCCCGTCCGATGGTTGGCAACATTCAACCATTATGTCTAGCAGCAAATCTACGATTGCTTGCTGTAGAACTTTCACCCCCATGAGCAAGTTCATCAAACTTGGAGATGTAGCCTCGCCTTTGCTACCAGCGTTCTTCCCGCCAGCAGGGTTGACAGGAGAAACTTTGGTGGGTAGCAATAGACGTTTGACCTTAGCTGGATCATCCAAATACACTCGAAGACCTGCTAAGAAGGCAGCTACAGCCCCTGCGTCCATCAACAACTTTTCGCGAAGAGTGATTTGTAACTGCGAAGGATCCAACAGGAGAGGTGGGTTGTCACCATAACTGAGATGAAAACCAGCCCGTGCAAGCAAACTCCTGAATATATCCTCCTCATCTCCACTTATGCCATCACTATCATCTGAGTCCAATAATTCATCCGGGTCAGTAGAAAGTGCATCCTGCTCATCGTCGGATATCAAAACCTGCACAAAATGCAATATAAGTAAGAAGATATACTTACAAACAAAAGATAGTTTAGCGCTAAACAAGCCCTTGAGTCGAATCTTTAATGGCAGATGTCACTACGTATTCAAAACTTCACAAGAAAGTCAAAGCCGAAGCGTATGGTGAAAGACGTGTCTGAAGTACGGGCTCCAAGACCTCATCAAGTTCATCTTGGTAACAAGGGATAAAAGCAAATCGAATCCCACCGAGGCCATTTCCTATCTTTGATGGCAAATACAAACATTTGATAAACTAAGGTGACCAATCACGTCAAATTAGAAAAAGTTTTATTTTGAAAGGAGTTTTACCTCAAGGTCAGAAAACTCAAACCAGGGGCAGCAGTCGAGAATTTCACATACAAAGACTACAGTATCACGAACTAAGAAGCCTGCGTCAGGCTCCACCATATCTGAGACCTTCATGAATTGGAGAACAGAATTGTTCCAGGTTTTGGTGCATATAGAAGACTCCTTCCATACAGTTCGGTCTGCATGCTTTTGATTCACTACAGCCATCCTGTATCTGACCCAGAAATTTCGGTCAGGGTCAGCCCCAATAGACTGGTCACTCTCCAAGTAAATGCAGAGTGTATCAAAGGATTCGTAAACACCTGCTTGAGATGAACATATCAGGACATGCAATTAGTATGATGGACACCTCCACTCTCCGAGTACGGACAGACTGCACGGAAAACTAGCAGTCACTTCGATAAGGTTGAGACTACTAGGAGTCAAATCTAATAAGGACCCACAAGGTGCACAATGGACGTCTGTCCACATTTGAAATTAAGTGAGCGCTAATACTGGATCGATACATTACACGTGAAGGTAACAAACCTCGAAGAAACATCATCCGTTGATAGAAAAAGGCAGAAGAAATGTGAAAAAATACGATAACGTTTACGCTTTTCAATAGCTCTCAAGAAAACATGTCGTTGTGTCAAAATCTTAAAACTTTAGAGTTTAGATGTCCCTTTTGAATTCGCCATTAATATGAGAAAGATTCTTTGGTTCGTGTGATATGGACTAAACAATTTTGCAGAAGACCAAAAGTCAAAAAACATGCAAACTACGGAACGATGCTCGAAAGCGAATATCACAGACAGGACGGACCCTTGATCAGACAAATGGTGTGGACTCTGGAGGCTTCACTCCAGTCCACAGAAGTCATAGACCTCAAAAAGACGTGGAGTGCGGGGAGTGTCTAAGAAAGAGTGGGCTCGGATGGTTCCGACGGTTCTAGATCAGATATAATCTCGAACTGACGAGCTTCACAGTTGAGAACCAGTTAACTATCACAGGAAATACTGCGGCGGGGGCCCATAGTGATCATCAAGAACAAGTCCGTGAAACTTGGCACAATGACATTGCTCGATGCAATCACTCGCTCTACTAACTCTAATTCCTTACTCCGGTGGATGCCTGGAGGGAAACCAAATCAGAAAAGGACAATGATGGAATGTCGGTTTAAAGTGACGTAAGGATCAAGAAAGGCAGGTCGGTCTTCCACCGCCAGGCATACTGGAGGGAAAGAATGCAAGAAAAAAGAAGTAAAGAGTCTGTGCCTGTCATACATAATATGCTGGCACAACCCTGTAACCAAGCGTTGGATTTCTTTTACTGTACAAAAGGCCACACTCTTCAGTAAAACGACAGGAGAGTATCTCAAATCGGAGAGCACTTCCAGACAGACACACAAGTCATACTGAAACAACAATCATGCTTGGAGCACCTTGCTTGGCATGACCACTCTTTCTTTTAGCCGCTTGCATATAGAGACCATGTGCTAGATGTGCCCACATAGTAAAACCCACCGATACGCAGCTCACATCCACCGGCCTGGAAAAACTTGCTGAAGATCTTGCGAGTCTCCATGATTTCCTTGAAAGCAAGGAAGTTCTCCACTCGCCAGGTAAATGTCCCGCGATTCATAATCCTTCCAGTCTCATTAACAGAAGCTGATGAAGAGGGATCGACCTCATATTCGGGAAGCTCGAGCATGGTGGATGTCTCTTTCAGAATGAGGACCTCTGCCGAAAAAACCACCATGTCTTGAACCAGAAATCCGGAGTCCTGATCAAATAAGCTAGTCAAAGTCACGAATTCTCTCCAGCCCCAGTCTTTAGCAGCCTTCGAATAACGATTTTGTGACTCCTTCGTCACCGACCGCTCGTCAGATCGCTGGTTGACTACCGACAATCTGTGGCTGACAAAGCAACTCCAATCAGCTGCGGTGTTCCGCGGGTCTGTGACTTCCAGAAACATTGATAGGTGACACGGTGGTTGTGATTGCCCTGAGAAAACGAGGAAGACACAAGAGAGTTAGTTGTCTTATAAATTAGATGCTCATTCCACTCTATCTTTGTGAACACGGTACTAAACATAAACCAACAACCTGAAAAGACGACTGCTCACAAGTCTAAATAGGTGGATCTACATTCAACTAGATACACGAAGAAAGTTAGTGTACCTTTCTTGCAGTCATTTGGGCTAACTTTTGAAAATGTGACAAATGATTGCAAATTATCGGCGCGTTAAGCGCGAACGTACATAAGTCAATTACGTACGAAAGTTCCATACCTCGAGGATAAACAATAAGCCGACAGTCTCGGTTTCCAACTTGAAACCTTCGACTCTTTATGCAAAGTCCTGTGATCTTCCGCTTCTTCAAGAGGTCTTTTAGTCTAGTGAAGTTCTCTATTCTCCACATAAACTTGCCCTGATATCCATCACTCTTCTTTGCACTTGCTCTCCCACCGACAGGTCCTAGATTTTTTGAAAAAGTACTAGATTCTTTGATTACATGAAATGAGGCACTAAAAACAGCTGTATCATCGACAAGGTATCCCATCTCTGGTGCTACAAAATCGGCCATTTTCATATAATCATTCCATCCAAGACTCGTATTATCCCCACTTTTGTTATCCGCCGCAAACCTGCCGTATGAGTCCCTGTGCATATGATTCATACCTGCCCGTTGGTTAAGTACGGACATACGAAATAGACACCAGCAGCTCCTCTCTGGTAAAACGGACTTCTCTGTGTCTTTACTTTCTAAGCACATAGACAGATAATCCACACCAGACACAGATGATTGATATACACTAAGTCGAAGGTTACATTCTCCTGCAGGAAATACAGGGCTCATGATCTTTTGAGTCTTGATCATTTCTTTGAATAAAGAGAGATTGTGCACTTTCCAAGTAAACTTGCCACTCAATACCTCCGGAACTGGCCCAACGGTTGCTGGCAGCTCATTCTCCCTGGAAAACGACACTGATTCATGCAGAACTAAAATTTCAGCAGTGATCAAAACCGCTTCGTTGACAACAAATCCCCCCTTTGAATCCAAAACTGTCGAAGATGGAGTGAAATCACACCATCCATGAGACTTCTTCTTTGAGGAAAAGCGATGCCAAGAATCTCTTTGTATAGACTTTCCCTCGTCACGTTGATTCACTACACACAACCTGTAACTTGCAAAGCAATCCCACTTAGAAGATGATGAACCTCGTGGGTCCGTCACCTGCAAATATATGGAAAGATACCCCGGCAGTGCTTGTGAATCACCCTTCGGGTATACCAACAATCGACAATCATAACCTCCAACCTCGAAATAACGGCTCCATAATGCACGTGCTTTAACCTTCATCATGACAAACAATGAGCAGTTTTCAGAAACATATACGAGCAACCATAAGGTCGTCAGGTGAGAGAGTCCATATAAACGTCGAACGATTCAATATTCTGGTGTATTCATCCACAAACTACCTCGCTCATTGAAACTCATCACTCTCAGCTCACTAAATATTGCAAGCGAGGGACCTGACATGAGTTGGCAAGCTGGAACGAAAGGCAATAATTCATTTTGGGGCTTTAATCTTTAGAAGAAAGGGAGGGCAGCTGAAAGAAAAGCTCTTTGCATCAGTAAATAATTCAGAGAAAGTCCCACAACCAACATATAACAATATCGAAATCTAGCAACTTCCAATAGCAGCGGTGCGCAAAGGTCATGTATGGTCACGCAGGGAGGAGGACGAGAATCAAGTGCAAATGCAGTTTACGTATGATCTTTCACTTCCCAGCCCAATATATTCATACATTGTGGGAAAAACGGTGTAATGCACAGTTGACTATACTGGCCGGGTGATCTTCTATCACATGTTCGCCTCCACACATAATAAACTAGGCCTCGTTCACCCGTCTGCAGCTCCGTCTAGCCAAAGTAAGTCAGATTAAGGGCCAAGCAGATTCGGCAAATTCTAACTGCCACAGTAGGGGGGCTAAATCGACGCAAGCTTGACGGATCTCTTATTCACGTTTCCTTCAAGTGCATAAGACAGATGCACTCTTGAAAACTTAGAATAACCGTTCGAATTCTTCGAGCACACTTAAGAGAATCCAAATACCAGCAAAAATCGGAATTCATACGGCAGAGTCACAATCTACCGATGTAGGCGCAAGCAAGCTGCTTCGACCATGATCTAGCGGATCTGGCGGAGTGAATGAGCTAAATGAGCTCGTTGATGATCGAAATTCAAGCTTAGACCCTTCTTGAACCCTCCCGTTTTAGTAAACCAAGGCCCAAAATTTGAATCTTCGGAAGATCCATCGTCTTAGTCAGTCGACGGTGTTCACAGATGTCCACTGGTGAATGTAAAGACAGACAGCGGGAAAAGTTTACCTTTGAAAATTGTGAAATTGTCCACTTGCAAACAGCCGCGTGTTCCCCTTTCTTTTCGACTATCACTGACTCTTGCCCGCCTTCGCGGGGCTGTTCCTCCCCATTTTCTCCCCCTCTGGCCACACTCTTTTCCTGTCGCAATATCGACATTGTTGCGGTGGAATTATCCACCGCCATTGCTACCGCCGGAGCTTCCAAAAACTGGGCTACTTCTGCGATCTGATTCATTCTTCCCTTTCCAATCACATCTCCAGGCCCGACTCCTCAGAGCGGCCGCGGAGGGTCTGCACGCCTCGCACTAACCCAAACCCTAACTGATCTCTCCTCGAACATCCTGTCCTCTTTCGCTGCAGTCCTCAGCCTCCACTCTCTTGTTCTTCAACGACTAACAAACGGCACACCCACAGAATGTCTTGAAAGCAGCACCATCTAACACCAGGTGAAAAATCTCACTTCTTTCTGCTACTATTACTCATCCGGTCTCCTACTCCACGGGAATTGTGAACAGATCAAAACTCCTCCGGGCTTCAAGGATTTCTCCTCCCTCTCTCCAATCCTCGCTCTGTTCGACGCGGTCATTGATCTCTCATCCAATCAATCAATCATTCATCCGGTTCCCAGCCTTGGTCTTCTTCCTCCTCCTCCTCTTCTTCTTCTTCTTCTACACCCTTCCCGTCCCTTCCCTTCCCTTCCTTTCAACCCCCAAACCCGCTCCCCTGCTCGATAGGTTTTCACTCTCACACTACTAATCTTCTCTTCTCCGTCTCATCCTCATCTCCTTTAGCCCTCAGCCCAAGCCGAGTTCTAGGTTTCTGTCATTCTCGCTGATGAAAGATGCAGTGCAGCATGGCCTTGGCCTTGGCCTGCGACTGCAACAGCAGCAGCAGCAGATGTACAAGAACCCCGGGACTCAAGGGCCTCCCATATATGTTGTGGGCCTGGCCTTCCTCATCAAGCCTTCCTCCCCTCGCCCTCGCCCTCCCCCTCCCCCTCCCCTAGGTTTGTTCCCACCATCCCTCGCCCTCCCCCTCCTTCTCTGCAGCACCAGCAGCAGCAGGAGCGAGAGCGATCCCACGACAACAAGCCCATTCCTAAACTAGACTGCCATCGCTCGCTTCCTTCTAACTCTGCAGCGATGGCAGAGCCGCGCGGCACTCCTCCTCGTCCATCGCCACCATCGCCTCCATGTCCGCGGCTGCTGCTGCTGCTACCGACGCCCCCCGACCTCCTCCTCCTCCTCCTCTTGCGCCCGCTGCCGCTGCATCTTGTCCTGTCGCGCGCCTTCGTCCTCGTCTTCGTCGCCAAGACTGCCTTCCATCGTCTCTCCACGCGCTCGCTCCGTCCTCGCGCCGGACGGAGCTGCTTCTTCTTCTTCTTCCTTCCTTCCTTCCTTCCTTCTTCTGCTGCTGCTGAAACCGATCCCATCCGCCCGCCCGCGCGCGCGCTGGCTCGCTCGCTCCGTGGGGACGACCGAGTCTTCCGTAAGGGACGGAGTCGCGGGGCCAGCGACTCCGTCCCTCCCTCCCTCCCTCCGCTCTTTGCGACTCCGAGGGCGGCCCGGCGTTCGTCGCTTGTCTCTTCCATCTGCCTCGCTCGGTTCGTCGATCGACGCTTTCCGTTGGGAGTCGTCCCTGGTCGCGGTGGGGCCCGCCCGCTCGCTACCGAACGAACTACGAGAGCGTCCCTTTTCGCCTTTTGCTTCGGGTTTTTTGCATTTGCCCTTTCTGGTACTGTACTCCCTCCGGGTGTTCGGTCTACAAACCCCCAAAAACATCTTTTCTCTGGTAATTTAAAAAAAATAAAAACTTTATGGGCAATTTGTAGAAAAGAAAAAAAAAGAACGACAGTTGACTGGACTATTCACTAACCTCCTTTCCGTTTTATTTTGGCCATGGGGTTTCATCATTCGTCCCGGGATAGAAACCTCCACGATTGCTTACTAGGTTTCATCTCATATTTATATGCCTTTCCTGCAAAAACCTTATGTTAGAGCGCCTTTTTATAAATATCAAAATTTTCAACGCACATTGTTTCACACACGTTGGGGCTTTGAAATAAATCAAGATGGACAAGTTTTCATCAAGGCTGCACTTCATATCTCACAAGCACAATAAATACTATAGTGAGTAAATACACTTCCAATGTACGATAAAGAAATCATCTGATTTGTTCGATCGTTAGTACAGCAGTAAATACATTCTATTGTATAACAATAATATTAAATTGAAACTCAGAAGTAACGAGGGATCATATCACAACAAATCATGTCATGCTAAATATTTGCATATGTACATGAGTGATTACATATAGTGTTATTAACAACAATGATATCACAAGTTGATTTCACAATTTGAAAATATCAAGATTGAACCACTATCATAAGAAACAAAGATATGGGAGAAAACATATTTTTTCATGCTCACATTAATGTGAAGATAACACCTAATTATTGAAATATACCCATGGGTTGAAACATAGGTTTTAGCTTATAAACACATTGCAAAAATGTGATTGTATGTACAAATTCAAACCTCATTAACAACTAATGTTTCCGTCAATAGAAACGTGATATGTAGCTGTAACGCTAATCAGCTTATAAGGATTCAAACATCTTCATTATACTTTTTATTCCTTTATTACAAAATTAACAACAAATCTATTTCGAACATAACATTTGCAATATAATATTTAATTTGTAAAAGTTTCGTGTAATAGACTTGGAAGATTTGATTTCAAACCAACTTTGAATGCAAAAAAATTTTCAATACATGTTTAGTTTTTTTCATCAGAAAAAATTTCGTAATATCAAATCGATGGCATATGAAAAACATGTGTTAATAAGTTTTGATGTTATAGTTCATTGGTATTGTGGTTTTCAGAATTTGAGTATGGTTAAAGTGCAGTTTAAGGATTTCGAATACCTGAATTTTTTTCTTCTTCACAATTTTTATCTTTGAATTTAAGAGTGTTATAAAGACATATTTTCCGATTTTTGTGTATCCTCACTGATCCAATTCCAAAAAAAATTCTTTCAATCTAGATTATATATATAATCTAGATTTTTCAGACCAGTTCAACTTCTTAGCTATATCCAACGAACTCCGCTCGCATTGACCAGTAGACATAGCGGGAATGAATGCACCGCTACATGTGCAAAATGATGAATATGGGAGACTGAATATGGTTTCAGATCCAGAATTCCAAAGCTTGTATGTTCCGATATTTAAAGTATAAAGAGTTCAAATCCAAACATAGCGTGCTGTGTAACATGTAATCATCATAGGACATAAGTACGAACATAGATATTAGTAGTATCACTTAAATGAATTTTTTAGCATGAAATAAACAGCGACTATGTGATTCAAATGTATTTTGTATTGAATTTGAATAAAATTTTGCAAATTATGTGTAACATAAAAGCATAATGAATATTTATTTACTTATTTTCTAAAACTTGAAACCCTTTAATTGAGACTGCAGATTAATTGATTATTGCTATTTTCATGAACATAAATTTATTACTAATATTGTATTTAAATAATAAATTTCATGCATAAATATTAAAACAAAAATGATTTGCAATGAAACTTGTAGCTGAAGAGAGTTTTAGTTTCAATTGATATAAAAGTCAATTTAGGGTATCAAAGTTGCAAGATTCTATTGACATCAAGGTTTTGTACATGAGTTGTGTTACTCTCGCTTCCTTCATCCGAATAAAAGCTCTGCAGCTAATCTCTAAAATCGAATTTCTTTCTCTTGCTTTCACATGACCTGTAAGTGAATCACAATCCAATCAATCAAATTTCTATCGTATTACATTTATTAAAATAAATGTTTGTTAAAATATATAGAAGTATACGTTCATAAAATGTACTTCATTTCTATAAAATTACAATGTTCTTAAAATTAAAATGTACTTGCCAATCTATATCTAGGAAGTATATGTAATAAATTTTTATACATAGATGCAGTATACAAGGCTTGAGGGACGAGGAGCTGGAAAGTTCAATCTCGTGATGTTATACACACTAATTCCTGGATTGTGTTTAAGTACCTTTCAAAAAAATAAAAAATAGCAGTACAATTCAGAGAAATGAGTAGAACAACTTACCTCAACAAAATCCTCTTCACTTATAACTCTCATCTTCGACTCAACGCTCTTCCTTCCATGAAGAGAGTGATGACATTTCGTGCCAAAAGAATGGTGAGTCTGCAGTTCATGTGGAAGGAAAGAATGAGACACAAACATAAAATATAACTAGTGATGCATTAAATGTACGCACTCACTACTTCTATGATGTGGCCACTTGGATGGCTCCAAGAACATAGAATTTTATTTTATATTCTGTATAATCATATGTTATTATTACTCTACTGGAAAGAAAAGAATCAAAAAACTATGGTCACTCAAAACACCCACTTCATACATACATCGAGCTAAAAAATGATAAGAAAACTCAAAGAGAATAATCAAACATAATGTTCAACAAAGATATTCAGATCTTCGTCAAACCCAACCCTAATTGTGCATGAGAGTATCAAACGTGTGAGCTTCTCACCATAGCCGCACTGTTCTGAGGACCAACAGAAGTGAGGTGCAAAAACCCCAAAGTTGAAGTACACCATCCAGGTCCAAAACCCTAATGGGCGCTAACAGTGACATCGAACAGAACCTGATGAATTGCAGTAGCTAGACTTGATCCTAAACTAGGTTGACGGGGCAACAACTCGATCCCAACACCGACGGCGACGGCCCTAGATAACTAGCAATTATACGCATAAGTCGTCATGAAGGGTTGGAGACTTTCTGGAACTGAAGATGTCTGTTGGACATATTAAAACTTGTGACTGGAGTACTGTAATTCACAGATCTCACTAACACTTAGCCTCACTTTCCCAAGTTAACAAATCAACTCATATCAATGTGTCTGTTGTGCTATAGCTGCTTTGGATCAAATGTAGACACCTTCGTACGCTAATACGGGCATTTTATTCTTACAATCAATATTCTTCCCGAGTACAATTGTGGCAGAAACTCAAGATATGAGAGATGGCTGTAAATCCTCTCCATTTTCCTGGAGAGTTTCATGCAGAATCTGCACAAGTAACGGTCCATGAAAGATATATCCATAACATGAAGAATGTCAGGGTATAGCATTCTCGAGTTTAGTAGACAACCTCAAAATCCATTCTAGTTGCACCCATCGAAAGTATGATAAGTTCCCCAGAATCTGCGGATGCACAAATTAAGCGAGTTCACTCGTTGGATAATTGTCTTCTTTAGCTTAGGACTTAGGGTCTGACCGACTACTGTACAGAACACGATTTCCAAAACGACAAACCATATACAGCAAGTTGGACAACGCTTAGTATTCACTAGGTCAAAGCTTAAGCATGTGTCAAAGTACATAACGTGAAAGAACCACTTTGTCCAAGCCACAGGTTCCATCGAGAAATATCCAGGATAAGTACATCTGGCTACGAAGTTTACCAGGAAGAGCAATAACTTCGATTCGATTGAATTTTAATGCCCTAATTGTAAGTGCATACGTGTAATATTGACAAGAAAGTCATTTCTACCCTTATACTATTGTGTATCTGACTTTCAAACTTCACTGTTCGAAATTCAATTTATTTGCTTGTGTTTTGTAGATGTAAAACTTCCATCGCCAAAATACAAAGTACTGAAAGTACCTGTGGGCAGAACAGAAGAGAAAGTCCTTGATGAGCGACCCATACAAGTCATTAAGGCATTAAGTGGGTTTTGCGCAGATATGCATTTTAATGCAGACTCCACGATTACAGCTTTAGGCTTTTACTAACGAAAATAACTGAATTAAAAGTTTAGATATCCATTTGGACTCTAAAAGCACTTGAAAACCTCAAGAATCTTTACAAAAGATGCGAAGTCGTCACGTACGTACATAAAGAATAAAAGTTCGCAACATACATCTTTCAGGTCATAACTGGGAGCACCTGTAATGCGAAGGAACTGCTACATCACCTATTTGTCATCTTTGTGGTGCACTGTTCAAGTTTCTCTGGCACTCTCACTGGAAAACTTAGATACAACGAAAACCATTTCCAGTTCGTGTCAATCGGAAGGCCTAAAACAGGTCTCTCTCCGACATCGACTCTAGAGGCACTCGAGTGTCCCACGTAAAAGGATAAATTCTTTGCATGGATCAAACTTGTACAACCTCTTTGGTGAGAGAGGGATTCCATTATGCAGATATCCACAACCAGAACAAAACCTTCACATGGTCAGAAGAGTCGAGCATGGTCAATACGAAAATGACAGACACCACGACATTCAGAGTTGAGGTAGGGTTCAGTGACATGCTCCATTTGAGAAGGTCGGTTGAAGTGGCAAATGCTTGAAGCAGTTGTGGTCGCCACTGTAACTTGTCAAATTTACTGCATTATATACAAGCAGACATCGGCCGTTCTTGCGAGGCTTCCTGTGATGTGGAAATACATTGCCGTTAAATTGGGAGCATGATTAAAAGTCCTAGTAAGATTGAGACTTGATAGTTTGTGCTTTAAAAGTTCTTCGTGAAAAAGGTAGACAAGTATTTAATGTACGATGGTTTATTTAATTGGCTCTTTGCAGCAGCGGGAGTAATCAAACCTGTGAAACAAAAACTCCCTCATCTCCAATTATTTCCTACAAGATTTAAGCCAAGCATCCTTCAAGTGGTGCTTCATGATTTAAAAGTAAATTTGTTACACTGGTCCAGAGCGTGGGCCACAATTCCATCGAACTAGATCTCCAACTTCCTTGTTTCATGAAAACTTACCCGGAGAACTCAGAACGTCTGGCAATAGAAAAGTCCAAGGCGAAGATAATTTTCGAAACTCCATGATCGCTAAGGTCGATCTGTATACCTGTGCATCTACTCAAGCCTCTGATTCAATCCAGTAGCTTGCACCAGAAAAAACAATGATCAAAGAAGGTTTCAAACTCGAATGCATGCAAATTAGATGAACCAGTACCTCGCAAACATATTGTGGTGCCTCGACAGCATAGCCTATGCCAGAGGCTCATATTTTGATGGACAAGATGGACGGCAAAACATGCCGCGTGCAATCAACCCAGCAAACATTCAAGAGAGTACTGGTGATGAAGTATTTGTCAAAGCAAGTGAAAGAAAAAATCCTCAAAAAAAGACTCCTTTGACATCTACACTCGACGCCATCACAGAAAATTGCAGATTTACACGACAAAAAGGTGAAAGTCCACAAGTTTTGGTGGGAGAGCCATATACGAACGAAAAGTGGATACAGCACAACGGTGACCGACGCAAAAAGAATTCCTAGTAATAAACACCAAATCCACTTCGGTGTGTGGTGAAACACCAAAGAGCTGTTTTGTAAACAATGAGAAGTGATGGATGGGAGGAAAATGTAAACTGAAAGCTTCCACTCTGATGTGGGCCCATCTGACATCTCAAAGAAATCAACTTTACGTTCTAAGTTGAGGCTTGAGGTATGAACTTTTTCTCGTAACATGCTGCTTTTGAAGACAACGAGCTCTACCATTCCTTTTGAATAATTAAACCCCCAGAATCACCCGTAGCACCTCAATATAGCCTATACGAATTCTCAATTGGGGATGAAGAATTGAACTGTACATTCGTGGAGGCCAGACAACCTTGCACTCAGTAGTCAGCCAACCCAGCTTTATGCCATGAGAATGGCAATACGATAAACATCACAGACACCCCCACATGCAAACTAGGGACTTGTCAAAGGTGGAGATGCTGGTATCAGGTCATGACCATTCAGATTGGGAGGAACCAAAGTAGGGTCCAATGTATGCAGCTGCTCCATAAGCTGTGAGCGGCGTTCCTTGAAAAAGTCCAGACGAGTAGTGAGTTCTGCCAGAGCTGCAGAGGCAGCTGGCGGCTGCCGATGACTCTCCATCGAGTTTGTGCTGGCCCCCTGGTATGCAACACCTTCAAAAATTACCCTTCAATGCAAGATGGCTGCATACATGCAATGGATGATTTAATACAGAGGAAACCATGATCAGGAGAAAGCATATGCGTAGCTCTCTTCAGGGTACCGCTCAAGACATTACGAACATCAGTATACGGACAAAATGAAAACCTTCATGCAGCTAAATAAGCAGGAAAGCAATAAAGAACAAAAAGCAAAATCAACTAACATTCCTTACGAAAAAAAACGTGCATATTCAACGTACTGGAGCTCCATCCCATATATTATAAGTTGCTTTCGATCAAGCTTCACATAGAGCTATGAGAACCCCCATGGAGCTATTGACAAGTGTGGCAGGTGATTCAAAGCTCTCAACATTACCTCCGCTTCTGCGTTGCTCTTTTTTCCACTAGATGAGCTTGCTCCTCCATCACTTGTGTAGCCGCTTCCATTTACAAGCTCCGTGCCCAAGTCTCCGATGCTGTATGCATCAGGTTTCTGCGGTCTCCAAGCAAATTGCCTTCCTGCAGAAGATGGACCTGCAGGAGGCCGCAACGTTCTCCAATCTCCTCCCGGATCCATTTGATTGAGTTGATTGAGTGGGTTAATCTGCAGGGCCTGGTTACCTTGATTGGAGCCAGGTTTGCGCCTTAAATCCTGACCTCTTGCTCTTTCCATATTTAACGCTTCCTGGAAAGACCGAATCATTATCGATTAGTGCGATGGCTATTGACATCTACTATATAGATGTTTTCCAACAGACTCAGGAAGGTAAAAAGAAACAAACCAGGGAAAGAGGAGCTGGACATCGGTAAATACGAAGTCGAGTCACTAAAAGCATGTTGTTGGGAACAGAAATAAAGAAGAAAACCTCCAAACAGATACCATCCAGCTGACAACAGAATCCTTAAAACGTTCTAATAATCATTCTTTCAATGACCTGAATTTTCTACATATACAGGTACTTAATCACGTGATCGAGTTAAAACCTTGGCTTCTGCGAGGGCATTGCGCTGCTGTGCCACTACAAGCTCCAATGCACCGGCATCTTCCGATCCACTTCCACCGTCTAGTTGCTGAAAATAGTCGGTTCCAGAGATGTTTCCCGAAAGAAGAGCAGAGAAAGAAAACATCAGCTTGAATGAAGAAAAAAATAGGTGTCCCATCGTAAAATCGAGACCTTTCGCCTTGTGCCCTCAAGATGGACATTACTGCGCGTTTTAAAAAAGGACATGAACGACGAAGATAAGACATTTCCCGTAAGCAATTTAATCATGCAATCAGACTTTCCTAAGAGTCAACTACAGGCAGCACATTGCCACGGGACGCAAACCCGACATAAAAGTACCTCATCATTCTTCTGCTTCTCTTGGTGACAAAGAGCAAGAGTCTGCTCTAGCTCTTTCTGTAATTGTGTTCTACAGCACACACAAGTCAATCAGTATATAGATATTTATATCGCCTCCACAGCTTGAATCCATTAACTTTTCGAAGTGAAGCACAAACTAGTCCTACAAGTAAATATTACGTCGCTTGCAGATCCAAGGCTTCCGTGCTATCTTGTTCAATTTGAGAAGCTTACTGCTGAGCTTGAAGGTTTCTGACACGTTCATGTCTATCTGACGCATCAGAGAGAGAGCCGCCTTGTTGCTGCTTCTGTTGACTCAATTGTAAATGCAGCTCTGCGACTTTCTGCTTCAATCTAGCCACATCTGCTTCCACGACAGCAATTTCTTCCAACTCTGCCCTGGTCTGCAGCATCGATTGAGAGATCATACACATCAAAGCAAAAGGATTCAGTAGATCGCCCAAAAGGACTGTGATACTCCAAACGCCCTTATATTCTGTCGCTGATGCTCTGGTCCACGTCTTCAAAACACCAAGTTTGGGCAACACTCGTTCCCTTTTGCATACCAGATGGGCAACACCAATCTTCAGTACAGGAAAACAATATACGAACGATTCTCTGGGAAAGTCGTCGTCTTATTCCAGTGTTTCACCTTGGAATCTAAGCTTTGAGCTGTGGACATTTGCGCGGCTGACATGCTGAGTCCCATCTCCAAGGCTGCCCTCAATTCCCTCTCAACTTGTAGCTGGCTCTGCAATCTGGTGACCTGTAGCCATGAATTGTGAAACAGGGCATTTCGTAACAAGTTAAAACGACGGGAGAACATACCAAGTCTCATCAGCAGAGTCTCAACCAAGTTATGTAGAGGGCTTCTCTACGCTCTCCAAAAAGTCAAGATTCAAGCAATGGAGATGATTGCCAGTAACAAAACATATGAGCATGCATCGTATGGCTTCTTCTTGACCGTCACATGTAAGAAGATATTACCTGGGGAAGTTGAGTAGCAAGATTTACTATATAATACGAAGCCAACATAGAAGACAAGAAAACGGTAATTGTACATTTGACAAGTATTCAATAGCATCCGGTACGCATGAAGGTGATGAAAGAATTATGTTATGCTGCTTAACTGTTGAACTGAACCACCTGATATTGCAGTAACTAGGATATACCTCCACAACTTGAATTTTAGGTGTAATCTACAGGAGGAAAAAGGTATAGAGATAAAAATTTACGTCTTGTTCAAGTGCTAGACGACGATCATGAAGCGCTTGCTTCCTTCTCTCCAGGCTGGCCTGCAGTACAGCATTTCCCTTTGCCTGCGAAAAAAGTGTGAACAGTCTCTATCACACCAGATGTGATGACCGAGTAATTTAACAGTAATTACGCGCTTGACAAACAAATTATCTATTTGAATATTTTTAAGTAACATACCTCTTTCGCGATTTTGTTGCGTAGTTCGTTCCTTGTGGCCTCAAGTCTCTGTATCGCCAGTCTGTCGTTAAAAAGAAAGAGTTTTGTAAGTCCAATGTTAGTCCACTGAGGTGAAATCCCAGTACAACACTTAACTTATTGAAGGTTTGCAACTTACTCTTCCTCGGACGAGTCCGTCATGTCGGCAGCTACAGTCTTGTTACTCGACTGTCAACACAGGCCAGCATTACAAACGAATACATCAAGTTTCCAAACGTTGACATCAAATAAAAACATCAAATGTTCTGACTCTCAACCCAACCTTACTTCTCAAGGTTATAAAGGACCACATTCTCCAACACATGTATCATAGGATCCAATCCTTCAAAGTTAGAGGTCTGTACTTTCAGAGTGTATGGGAACAAATGATGACATCAATCCCATGCCCGCATTGATCTGCAACTAGTGTATATGCAACCTATCTATGCGAACCTCATTATCAGCCTGACGCAAAATTGCGTGTAACTCATCAGCTGATGCGTTGTGAGCATGAAAATTCTACAGGGGAACAAGCACGACAAAAAAAACATACCGTCGTTATACCCCATATACTCCGCCTACTTGTAGCTGTCGACGCATGACCCTTCGGTCGAAGAGATGTACCAGAACCTGGTCCAGGTCCAGGAGGACCTGCAGCCCCAAGTCTGGGACTGGTGATTGGAGATCCCGAGTCCCAAGAGTGCTGATTGAGAGAGTTAGCAGAGAGACTTCCACCATTGTCATGGTGTCCAGATCCGAGTCCAGCACGATCTCGATCATGCGTGGTTCGAACAGAGCGAGTCCATACTTTGGCTGACCCTTTTGACCTGGAAACTCCCTTCGGAGAATCGAAGTCCGAATCTCCACCTTCATACACCTGCTCACGCAACACGGCAAGTATTGAAGTGACAAGAAAGAAAAATGAACTGAGAGAGATAAATTCATAGTTTGAGTATTATAGCATGAAATACACAATCTCAGCCGCGAAAACATTCCTGGCAACGTAATCTGCAAGGCTAGCGTTAGAGGCGAGGCACCAGAAAACCATCAGTGTCATGGTGTAGGATACTAACATAGACGGGCGTAGGTGAATAAACCAGAAGGGGTATTATAAAATAAACTCCTTGATATAAGCTTCAATCTACAAACCCACCTTGTAGTCAAACACATCAGAGTCAATGTGACCACTGCTTTCGCTTAGCCCTCCACTAAGAACTCTCTCGAAATCTTCATCAACTTCGGCGTCGAGGTCATTTTGAGCATCATGATAACCATCAACGTCATGAAGTTGAAGTACCTCGTCCTCCGACTCTTCGTCACTGCCACTGCCATCCATATTTGGGTACATTTGTGGTGATGGAGGCACTCGGGGAGAGTCATCATCCTGGAATCAAACACATGTATCAGTGGTCCTGCCGGCTTGCACTTGTTAGCCTTTCCAACATCTGTATTAAGAGCTAAAATGCCGGTTACCATCTGATCTATTTTGGCACACATGTGCTGTGAACAATCAAAATACAGGCCAACAATAGTTTGATTTAGAGTATACACATCGTACCTCAAATATGTTATCATACTCTTCCATTAACGTGTTGACTATGGACTGTGCATTGTTAGCAGCAGTTGTTGCAGCGAGAAGCTGAGCAGCATTGTCCCCACTGACGTCTGAGTCATCATCAAGACCACACTCTCCTGCTAATAATGGCCTCAAAAGAAGAGGGGCCATGCAAGCAGCTACGGCAGAGGAAGTCATACGATTCTCCGATGTGTGAGAGGCCACAGCGCGCATCATCCTCAAAACCCTGTAGCATTTCAAGACCCTCAGAGTGTAGTAATTAGCGACAGATCATGTGGGTACATCTTGGATTTCTTCAAGTCCTGGTCTAGAGAAGCCAAGAATCTCTGTAGTTCGTGCAAAGAAACAAGCGATTGAGAAAACGAAATGAGGGACCTAAAGATAACTTCTACAGCCCCTAAAGGCTGCCGATATGACCGAGAGATTGATCGGAAAGGTCAGAAGAAATAAATATTGAGATCAAAAGCTATCAGGTTACCTTTGAAGAAGCCGCCGATTAGGCTCTGGAAAGCTCTCGGCAACTGCGATTCGCATAGATGCGACACGAGATTCCTTTCCTTCCAGTCCTACAAAATTAACCCCCCACGAATTCCCGATCTCAATTAACAATTTAATAATCAAGCAACTACCTTCAGTTTTGAGCAGCAAACATTTTCAATATAAACTATGATGAGTGCATGGTATATCTTGAAATGTCGTCACTGTTCTAATGCAAAGAATATCTGTAAGGTAGCTCCCGCCAAAAGTTATCTCAGATAAGACGGCAGTCATCGACGACAGAGAGAAGAATCTAACATCCAGCAAAATGCAAGAAAAGCAGGTTGTCTGCACAAAAACAATTTCTACTCACTATGAGCTTCAAGAAGAGCAGTGCAGCACGGGGTAGGCACTGGTGAAGATGGCAACTCCCTCAACACGTGCTGCATGAAAAGAGTAAGAGGACACTGTGAGATAAATTGCAAGCCTAGCAAGTTGGCTTGGAATTTCAAAGGAGAAACAAAGGGTAAGGAGTGGCTCCCTCTGATCAGAAATCAAGATCGACCAGGAGGACCTGGAGATGAGAGCTAAACCAAGTCGATAGTGTTTGATGTATCAGGCAAATAAAAAGTTAAAACTAAGAGTTACCTTTATACAGTCTCCAATGACATGAGCGTCTTCATCTGGCCCAAACTGGTTATGCCCCCCCTCATAGTCACGGACCCTACGCTCAACTTCATCTACATCTGCTGACTGACGTAAGATTCCTTCCACGCCCAGACCTGAATCACATATTTTCAATGAAAAGTTCGAAGTCTAGATCAAGGTGTGTCATACAGAAGGTCAAAGAACAGATTGGCTACTAAACACTTGGTAAACTTAAATAAATAATAGCTTATAATGAACAACAGCTGAAGAAAAGGAGAGAAAAATGTTCATGATTTGAACAAGTAAAATGCGCTGATAATTTGTAACTGGTAATCTCCAAGTTCGCCAAAAATAATTCAGTGAATTACACAATTTCCGAGAGCTCCTAACTTCGTGACTATTAAAATTTGAACTGAAGTACTTCTAAAGCAAAAATGCTAGCATAGCTAAGTGGATAAAACGTGCAACTCCTAATTGCACGGTAGGGGTTCGATTCCCCTCGCTGACGGTTTGTGTGAAATGTGTACCATGATTCTCTATGAAGCAAAGAGCCTTCTCCAGGAAAGAAGGGCTTCCATCAATATCTTCCAAGGCAAGCAGGATAGGTCTCCCGACAACCAGGGATTTTACAGGTCTTCTATTCCCTTGACCTGCACATAGCCGAGGGAAACGAGGACATCACTACAAGCAAGCTCTATTTCTGCTCAAAACTAGTACTGAAATTTCCAATGCAACTTGGATCACAACTTAAAAAGGAATGTGTGAAACCAAGACAGCAGGGAAAATTTTGTGACAAAAAGCGTGGAAGTGTTGGATCTGATTGAGTTGTTCAGCAATTTTCTGAACATATTCCCGGAATCAGAACTTCATTACGTTCTGTAGATTCAATAAGATGGAATCAAATGTAGTACAGGATCTCTAAATTGTAAGAATTTTATTGATTGGCAAGTACAATGGCCCACAGTCTTGCACACAGAACGCACTTTAGAGAAGAGACCCAATACCTGTACTGTTACTCGACCCTTCAACTGTATCAATCGAATCATTTCGAAATATCCCGTTATGGCCCATGACAAGGTCTGCATTCGGCGCTGCAGCCAGTGCACGGTCAAGTGCAATTTTCCATTCTTCAAGGTCTTCCATTGTCTCCGCCTGCTCATTGATAGATGACACAAGGTGGTCAATGTAAGGCGAAGGAAGGTGAGAGGATTACTAACATCAACAATAGAGAAGACAAATATACCGGGAAAGTCTTCCACAGAAGAACGTGTTAAAGATAATGCAAAACTGACTTGGTTAGTTACAGTTTATACACAAAAATTAGCGACAAGCAGATGGAGGTTTCAAGGCGAGTCACTAGCATTGAGAAAGAGATACCTTGAGCGTGAATGTTCTTCCTTCAGGAGAGGAGCCATCGGGGGGAAAAAGTACAGTGAGAAGTTTTTTCTCCGCTCGCAAGGAGACACTGGAAAACAATACCATGCAATCAGTCAGAGGGTAAAAGTATGTCATTCGCTCCGAAAGATTATCAAATTTCGCAAATTTCATTCTCTTACCTGCCCGAGTTGTTGAGGTCGATGCCCCCCAAGGTGAGGTTTGCATCTCCACCCTTTTGTGGAAGCAAGTTCTACACAACATCACACAAAAATAGAAATTAATCAGGGGCTTCAACGAGACGCAAAAATTCGTGAGTCAGTTCGATAGTGCAACAGACTTCCAGGTTGATGGTCACATCTTCACATTTTGAGGAAAGAGTGTATGTCCAAGAGCTCAATTTAACTGAATTAATATGATTCACTTACAGCTTATATTTTCAAACACAATATATGCACAACCTCCGTACAGAGAGGGACTAGGCTAGGAAGAGTTCAGAGAGCAATTACAGGATCATTTTTAAAGAAGACGAGGGATGTGCGAGTAAGTATGAACCAACGCCGCTTCCATGATTTCCAGCCAAGACCTGCCAATACACAGAGGCTAGTCAAAAACTGTCTACGCTCAGACAGCTACCCGACCGATATGAACTCCTTACCTGGAGAGTCGTTTAGTTGCTTGATGTAATTTTAAAAAAAAAATGGTGGCATATACCATAAACATCTATGTGTAGTTGACATGGTCCGTCGTCCTAAAAAGTCCTCCAGAGCTGCCCACAAACTCACAATAATTTACACGTATGCAGTTTTTTGATGGGTATCGGGGCAGGAGTGATCCTAAAAGCATAATGAATGTCCTGGCCAGTTTCGCGAAGAACCTCATTGATGTAATCATAGAAAACCACCGAGCTGAAAAGCCGAAAGAAAAGCTATCTTAAGGAAAGTTGATTTCCTTCAACTCAGTGATCTGGAGTCACATAGGACTTTATGACATCAAATGAAGCCGTCTGGAGAAGGGCCAGATCAGCAACGATACAATAAACATCAGTCACCCATAAATGAGCAACTACATCCACCCCACACAAGGAAGATCTGGAATACTTGATTCGGTTCCACTATAGAAAGTCAGGGGCTATGACACAACGGTGCGCTTTCTGAGACAATGTACTATTCCAAGACATGTAGAGGACTTCGCCAAGATAGATCCATACACCATGTGTCTCATCTACTGCCAAATTATAGGTCTCTCTTTCGCATCGTGTGATACGAGGCATCATAACAATGGTATTGCCACCGAAATTTGAAAAAACGGAGTTAAATTGCGCAAAGCCCCAGTGTACTTGCCAACAGCGTATCACATCCGTGGCCCTGGCCTTCTCGGTCGGTGACATCACAGAGGGGAAATTTACTCCCAAACGTTCCCAATTTGACTCTATATATCCGCAAGCGGAACTTGCATATTTCAAATTCCATGGATTGCAAACAACTGGCTGAATCAATAATTACTCAAAAACACAAGAGTGTACCTTTGGACGATATAAAAAGTGGCCCGCTTTTGAAAACCTGAAAAGTCCAATTCACATTCAAATGCCACAAACTTAGAAAATACTGCGATGGAGGTTGACGGTACTTGGCAATCAATGAAGGAGATCTGGAGCTCTTCAAACATAGAACAACCAGAAGTTGCAGTAAAGATGTCCATCGGGCCTAAACCATTGACCATGGCTTAACGACGAGATTAAATTATAACCAGACGCGATGGATCAATGGACGGGATGAGAGCCAAGTAGACGGGCGGATGGTGGTAGTAGTCCTCTACAACTCCATTCAAAACTTGGGTGAGAAGTGATGTAATCACTCACCCTTCAATATCGATCTTGTATTTAAAGATCGCTACAAGTTTAACTGACTAACTAAAGAACGGCCGATCTTCTCTCGCCAATCTAACATCGGAGACAGTGACTGTTTCCTTCTCGGCCATAGTTAGTGTTCACGTCACACTCGACCATGAAAATTGTCCTCAAAAGCTCGAAAACGGCTTGAGTACGCAAACTGACATAACATGAGCGAAACAGGATCGACATGCGCACCAGATTTGACCCACGCCCCCGCGGACGCTCATAAGGGGCTGGAGTCACTGTCGCTGACATCTCCTTTGCGCTCCTGTCTCCTTATATTCCTACCTGCTAGCAACCTCCTGATCCTCAAATCTCATCGTCCTGTCCGTCCATGATATGTCCACTACTGTTCAACTTCTTTCATACCTCTCTACCTGAAGCTACCAATGCCCTAAAGGACCCAATGCTGTCACAGTCCGTCATCTGACACTCTGTGAGCGACCACCCTAAGCCCACAGAGAATGTGCGCTACCAATTGCCTGGAAGTTCTGGATATCTCCGGAGTAATGCTGATGGCAGTCGGTCGTTCTTGACGAGTGACAGAAGAATTTCGCTCCGAGATCAGACTGAACAGGCAGAGGGGGTCTTCAAACGCTACTCACCGGTAGCTTTTATGTATAGCCAAGATGCCTTCCTCCTTGTTAAGCTCAGGGGTCATCTTTCTAAGTAATCAAACCAAAATACTCTACGATTAACTACAGCGACTTGGGGCGTAAACATGTGGTTTCCTGTACGCCAGACAGTGCAACCGGGCGCTCGGGCCACCTGCAAGCGAAACTCGCGTAACCTGCATTTCCCTGCCTTCACATCATGCCAGTTCTACACCACTGCCTCGGTCCCGACATGCTGAAGCTCCTCCTCCAGAACTTTCCGAGCGCAAGCATTCCTATGCTTCCTACTCGCAGCGCCCTCCGTCTCACCGAGCGCTCCCTCCCTCAGCTCTCGTCCTACACAAAAACCAAGCTGCATACGGTCGTCGTCTTCTGCTTCTTCTCGCCAAAATTTGTCAGAAAATTCCATCCGACAATTTGCCCTGACCTCCGAACGCCTCCACACAAACTCACACCGCCATCCTCCCCACCTGATCTACGCGTCTACTGCCTCGCACCGAGAACCACCACCTAATCCTCGATTGCCGTCCGTCGTCGCCAGATCACTCGACTCGCCCGCCACCAACAACAACAACTCGCCGCAATGTCTCCACCCTGCAGCAGCAGCAGCTTCTTCGCCACCGCCCGCCCTCCGCTTCACGAAATCCGACCTCCTCATCGCCCGCCCTCCCGCACTAACCCTGCATCTCTACCGAGCGCCTTACGAATCCATCGCCTCCTCCTCCTCCTCCTTCCTTGCCTTCCATGCGCTCAGATCGATCCGACCCTGCGCTCCTCGTCTCAGAGAGAGACCGTCGGTCTGCCTCTCCCTCGCTCCCTCCCTCGCTCTCGACGACGACGACGCTCGACGCTCGCTCGCTCTGGCTCGCGGCCTCTGGCGAGCACTGTCCGGCTCGGTCCTTCTGAGAGGGGGTGGGGGGGAGGGGGTCGACCGCGTCGGAGCCCCGCTGCCCGTGTCACCGCTGGCCGGAGCGGGGACCGGGTGCAGCCGGTGCGATCACCGCTGTCAGTGGCGCGTGTCCAGCTGGGGGAGCAGCGTTGACAAACTAGACTGCTATAGTTTTTAGTCAACTCTTGTCGCCATCCATCCACGCGTACCCATCTATCCAACCATCCGGGCACGTCATCACCAGCCGCGCCCCCCATTGGCTCGTCCCACCACGTCATCTGGCAACCACGCCCGGTTACTGATCATCAGGTGGTCCCTCTTTCGCACAAACCATGTGAGCACCAGCGAGACAGGGACCTCGCACTCGCCCATCCGCCACTTTACATGTGACCTCCGCCCTCGCTCTCCCGCGCGCGCTCCCTGCCCCTCCCTCCGCCGGGCCCGCCAGCCGGTCGCCCCCTCCGCCTCCGCCCCTCCGCTCCTCTGCCGCCCCACCGGCTGACTTGCCCGTCCCCGTCCCTTCACCAGGCCTACCCTCGCCTCATTTGAACCCCCCCTGTCCCCTCCCAGAGCCTTTCCGCGCGACGCTTTTACTAAAGCTAAAGTCTTATTGCTCCTAACCTCGGTCTTAAGGCTCTGCGCGATCCGGGCTTAAAGAACAGATTTCTTACAATTAAAGTATGATGTGCCCATTACGTAAGGGTTTGCTCCACAGTGCGTCCGTAAAGTCAAGTCTCCCGCTCGTGGATCATGCAGGTTCTCCTTTCTCTACAGAATATCTCTTCGCTGCCCGACTTTGGCAGCATGCGCGGCTCGGTTTCGGAATCGGCCCAGCAGTGCGTCCCGTTTAAAATGCCCGCGGCTGGATTTTTCAACAGAGTGGAACCTGCTCTTTTGTCCGCTAGTGCATGGACGACGAGAGGGCTGAACCCCGTCGGCCGTACGAGTTCATGCATATGGAGGATTCATGCCGTAGAATATTCCTTGCCGCTGGCGGGCTTCCGCTGGAGGATTCGATTGGTTTCTGTCCGGCGCGGGTGAGCTTTGACGAAACGAAAAGGAAACGAAAAGACTGGGGTCACAAAAAGATCGAGGGCCGGGCCGGGCGGGGCAATGTGAAGCCCAGGAGTTCGGCCTGCTTGATGAGCGGAGCATCATCCTAGAGCGAGCGAGGCTCGGGGGGGAGGGGGGGTGGGGGAAGGATAGGAGAGGCTCGCGATGGAGGACACGTGTAGAGTAGGCGACGGCCGGATGCTCTCAGCCGCAGCTAGCTCTCAGCAGCGTTGTGCGAGTATGCGGGGCATGGGCTCCGGAGCGGTCAGCAGGGATGGGAATCCTTGATCATGAACGCCCGAGTTTAATTCTTTTGGTTCAATTTCAGTGCGGATCTGAAATCTTGTCGTCGAGCTGATGATTTTGATCCCAATTTCGAGGGGATTCACTGCTGTGTCGGCTGAGATTGGCCTGTTAAAGCTGCTCCGATGGTGGACATGAGTCGAGGCCGATCGCTGCCTTGCTTTCTATCGAGATTTTCGACCAATGCCGAACTATGAAATGCTGAGCATTGGTTCGAAATGTTAGACAGTGCGGCACTGCCATCTTCTTCTCTGTAATTGTTAATCGTCGCCGCTTCACGAACAAGCTTGCTGGTTGATTAGCTCTGCTTCAGTTGAGCACTTGTCGACCTAATTGTCATTGCAGCAGGGAAACTTCCTCGTCCGAAGTGAACTTTTGTTAGATTCTTGTGCGGCATGAATACCTCATGTGTTTGCTGCGCACGCTCTCTCTGACTGAGGATATTTTGTTCCTCTAGTATGATCTCAAATTTTTGCCCACTTCCAGGCTTCAAGTCAGTCTGAGAAATCCTTTGTTTGGAGTTCATGGTGATGAGATCAATACCTTCCGGTTGCCAGTGTACAGAGTACGTCTTTCCTTCAGTTTGAAGGAGGCGAGCACGATTTGCACCCTCAGGCTTTTTGATATTCACTCGTGGAGGTGGAATAAACCGTATTTACTGCATTGTCTCTAACATGAGAACTTGACATTTTCTGGGGATCTCACGTGCTCCGGTTCTGTGTTGGAGCAACACTTTCGTTGTGGCATCGAGATTCATGGACATTGGTGTTACCGCGTTGAAAGAGCCTATCTTCTTCCTCCTTGCAGTGGCTGAAGTTGTTTGGGTAGTTTATTCATGAGCGGTTTTTAAACCGAAGTACAACAGGCCGACATATCACATGTAGTGTAGCCCGCACCCATGACTGGCAGTTGGCGCTTCTCATTTTTTTTCGTCGTGGATGAGGATCGTTGGTCTATGCAAAGGTTTTCCATCGAGTAATGGCCGATGACCGTATGAAGGTTTCATCTCAGGTAAGTTGATGTGATTTTGTCCTTGTGTGATGCTGGAAAAAATTGTGTTTAGGTTTTGAATCGTGTTAGTGGTCTGCTAAAATTGTAATTAGATTGTCGAGTCTTTTGATGATCACCATTTTCCAACGGAGAATGAAAATGCTGACTATGTGTTCAGCTTTAGTTTTTGCTTGCTATCTGTTCGTCGAAACTTGAATAGCTTTCGGAATCATACCACCTGTATTTCCTGGATGTACATGCCTTTTATCCGTCTAACATTGCTCGATGTCTCACAGTAGTCTGGCTTGAATTGATCAAATTGTTACAATGGAACTGTAAGCAGTGCCTGCTCAATTATATGCAGCTTGAAGACGCTTCGTCTTACCCTCCACTTTTTGTGTTCCAGCAAGCGTCATTGGTCTTTGCGGACCTTCTAGACTCCTTGATCGTAGATGTTGCATCGGAGTCACACCGAGCAGCACGTCTAGGGTTTGACTACAAGCTCAATGTCGAGGAGGAAGAGGAAGTACGTCTGGCCCACCAGGCGAGGACATTTGTGGGAGATTCTGGTTCCATCGGAAACGAAAATGGAAATAAACATACCATCGACGTCTTCGGACAAACTCACCCCACAATTGCCAATGAGACATTTGAATGCCTGAATTGTGGCCGTCCAATTGTTGCTGGGCGTTTTGCGCCTCATCTCGAGAAGTGCATGGGAAAGGTATGTCTTTGTAAGAACTCAGTAAATAATTCAAACTGAATGCCTACTATCCTAGACGTGTACTGCTTAAAAATTACAAACGTGTATCTGAGGCAGCCAGACAGAAGCATAGTGATATCTAAATTTAGGACAACTTCGTTGTTTGTCGAAATGTCGCAGTAGGGCAGATATACGGCAGTGCATCGCATGAGCTCCGCATCAATCAATCGGTCGGCCTGCCTGCAAATCTGTACTGTTTAGGTTCAGAGATTGTACAGGGTAGAAGATGTGTTGAAAGAATGCTGCTACACTTCTGAAGATCTCATTTTTCAGCAACACTTCTCTAAAGATCTCATCATTCAGTGTAGTGCCCAATCCTGGTTTGGATGTTGGTATCTAGATTTTTATTTTTTTTAAAATTAATAATCGGCGGGTAGAGCGCAAGATGCGTTTTCAGCTCTGTTTCCATATCATATTGATATGTACTGTAGTAGAAGTTGCAATCGATGCAAGTAGAAGTTTTGGATACAAGTGATAACGTCGATGGGTTAGTAATCGTTTGAACTGTGAACTTTCCTTCTGGGTTTTGAGGTGAAACAAGAAATGAAGAGAAGTAGAGTACCCTGTCAGTACCCATAAGTACATGATGATATGATCCTCTTTGGTTGATATCATCGTGGTAAAGGAAGGAGGAATGACTGATAATTTCATGAAAGTTTTGGCCACCAGGAGTCGTGTTAAGGACCTGAATAGCAAGTTGGGCTCACAACGTTTTGTTCCTCTTCAGTTGCCCATCAGTAGTAAGAGTGCAAAACGAAACTGGACAATTCCCTTTTTTATCCAAATTTAGCCAAGTGTTCGCATTTACCGATAGGCTGAACGTTCGCAGTGGTTCAGTGAGAAAGAGTCTTAACGTGTGAATAAAACTACCTACGTCTTACGGTGTTGCGATATTCTCATTAAAACTTGCGCTCTGCCGGTGGAGCCGAAGCTTTTTTCACAAGCCTTCATGCGATTCTCAAAGCAGCTGCATTTTTAAGCTATATCAACTATGGCTACTATAATGTAAGGCATTCCCTGGAAAATCTCTCCCTTCCATGACAAAAGTCATATTCTGACAATAGGCGTTCGTCAGGGGACGAACTGGGCTGTCCTTCTTGCTAATTTTTTTATCTTTTCTTTTTCGTTTCATCCCTTGCATTCTTTTCCTTCTAGAACTCTGGCCATCATTCCTCAACTACCTTGCTGCTCTCCTTTAGTCTCTCCATGTTTTGTGTTGTCAATTCTATTCTTTCCTAGGGATTCGTTGTCTTGCCATGCGTTGTATGCATTGTGTCATCCTGTGCCATATACATGGCTATTTCCGCTAGATCTTTGAGTCCCTGCTGCGGTTGTAACTCAGGGTTTGTACTAGACGGTTCATTGCATGCTAAGGCCCTGCAGTTGATCATGCACTACTCAAATTTACATTTGTTTGGTAATCTAGCTAGTCAAGATTTTCTTGATTCGTACGGGTTGAATCCGAACAGCATTATCTATGGGAAGATCAAAACTTACGAGAAATATTCTTCATTCTCATTTACTCCCCTTCAGACTCTGACCTGCACATACTTCAGCCTGAGAGACACAATGAGCACAATGTGTAGACAGATATCTGATTCACTCGTGGAGAAGCGGGGTGGCATGGAACATGCACTGCACATTCTCAGTCAAACATACTCTTATTTGTCATGAACTGGATGCATGCTTCAACGCCATGTGCGATCCAAAAGTCCAACGCTTCTTCGTGTGCTTCAGAATGAATTGACTATATCCAGATGAAATGCTCCACCTTGCTCGACTAGGAGTCCAACTTGCAAGTCAAAATTCCGCTACCGGCTTCAATGGAACTGCCGTTTGCACTTGCAGTTCCATTGGGGCTGGTAGCGCTTTTTGGAGCCTTGTGGCTCAGGGCTAGATCTTGAATTAGTACTCAGCACAGAGAGTTATCGTCGTTGAGACTTGGCGAGTGCAGCTGTGGCTGCTTAGAACGTGGATTCTCTTACGCCCAGGTTTTTGTTGGTTTGATTGTTATTTGTTCTTTTCCAATAATTGGTAGTGGAGAGTCCATGGTACTGCTCGAGGGTGTACAGGATCTTGCGCTTGTGTTGGTGTTGGTGACTGAAAGTTTTTGTTGTGATGTTTGATATGAGAGTGATGTATGGGGTACTGAGGAATGTATGTGCACGATTTCCTCTTGACGTCGGCTTTACATTTGTCCTAATCTATTGCAGCATGCTTCTGATGCGCAGGGTAGAAAAGCTCGACTAAAGGCGAGTAGAAATATGACCTCTACTCAGCAACGGAGGGCACGTAGCAGTCCGATTTCATCGTATGGAGGTGTGGTATCTGCTGCACGCACACCAAATAGAACCCCGACCAGAACTCCTGAAGAACCTCAAAGAGGTCTGACTGAGGCAGCTGATGGGACGTCTGAAGAAAGCCATGACGACGATGAGAAGGTGCTGTCTATCAACCTTTTTAACCGGAAAATCAAATAGTTTTTCATAAGATAACTTAAGTGACAAGAAATATTTCGTGAAACCTGGTAGCGACTACATAATCTCGATATTTAGTTTGACAGTTCTCGTAAACTCTTCGGACATGATAGCCGGTTTACCCACATGTCCGACTTGTTATAGCATGGCAATAGCTCCACATAGACAGTGCCAAAGAGAGATTTTATATGAAGGCAGCTTTTACGATCTCCTGGTGTGTCGATAATGGTCTAGGTTCATTGGTATCCTGCTAGATTTCATAGATGTATGGTTCCTGCTTCCGTGAGTTGCATAACTCTACGTGTAAGTCATCTCTTGGGGTATACCATACTGGCGGAAATGATGACGGTGTACGGGGCAGAAGAGCGGGTTAGGAGTCATGTCTGCGGTCCTTTTGTTTTGGTGAGGTTATGACACATTCTGTTCGACTTGATTTCAGGTCCATCGTGCTAGAGTACAAGGTGGCCATTTCCAAGTTTCTGCAGTTACTAAGTAAATGCAAAAAGGAAAGAGGTCAGTTGGTTTTGGTTCACAGTACTTCTCCGAGGCAGTAACCTGTGTTTGTTACATCGTTGGGCAGTCTGCTTTGGAAAGTGTTTTTTTTGTTCATGTAGATTCTTATGGTGCTTGTGCAGGACACCTTCTACGGGCTCCCTCGACCTGGTAAAGCACGATCGAAGAACGCCTCAGGAAGAGGTTGGAAGAACCATCGTGGGACATTTACGCTCAACATATCGGGCCCGGTTCCGTTCCCGCAATTAGCATCACCTGGTGGGAGATTATTGAACGCAATCCTTCCAGCAGGAACTCCCACTTTCACTGGACGTGAGGAAGGGTTGACAGTAGAGGTTGCCGTAGAGCAATTCAACTCCTTTGTAGGTGGACGGGTTCCCACGTCGGGTGATATGGCTTTCGCCAATGGCCGTAAGCAGCACTTCACTGCAAGAAGCACCAAGGTCGGCAAGGAGAAGAAGGGACTGGGCTTGGCTCTTGCAGATGAAAGTGTAGGGAAGTACTGTAGTGGCACGAGCAGAAGTAATGAAGACGAAGGATGGAAAGACTCAGGGGAGGAAGTTGACGCTTTGAGTATGACTAAATGTGGAATTCTCGACGGGTCAGATCAAGGGTTTCATCCACAAACTGGTGCTTCGAACGAGGTAAAGAGTGATCTTCGTGGTGAACTTCCGAACAACGGTGATGATCCTCATCTCAAAGCTTCGAACACCGACGTTGCGAAACAGCCAGTCACATCAACGTCAAGCACTGATGGGAATACTAGAGCTCAGTGTAGCGGAAGTCTAGTAATATGTGAAGATCCAGGGCAAAAGCCCAAATTTCGCTTTTGTGGAGACAATGGAGATTTTAGCGGAGTTAAAAGAAAGAGGCGATTTCGAGTCACTTCAAATCCCAAGCATTATTATGCGGCTGTGATGGCTCCTACCTCAGGTATCACAATGTTTTCAATATACTGGTCGGGTCGTGCAAGGGTTCGATTACCTCCATCACGACCCATTTTGCGCTTATATTATGACTAGCAAGCTACATCTCGCACTCGCACTTGATGTCAAAAACCGGGCACGAATGACTTGGCTCACATTTGGGTCTCGACCAAGAATCCTGTGATTGATAAACCTATGATTGACAAAGTAAGGGAAGAAAAGTAGCTCAAATAAAATAGCATCCCTTTCTTCATTAAGTAGAAAGGATCAAATGGGATGTTAAAGAAGAGGCCCAAAGGAACAACCAAGTCCACACGCATGCACCACAATCCTCAATGTCGTCTACGGTGAAACGGTACAGGTGGTCGCCACTCGAACGTGCACGAGAGACACTGTGTCGTCGTGGAGGTGGTGACGGATCAGAAACTGGAGCACGCGGAAGGAAGGACCGACGAATGCTCCAACCACAGACGCTCAGAAGGGAGTGAAGGGATGCAGGCGCTCAGCCGAGTCAGCACGAACTGAAACCACGTGCGAAGAATGTCCCAGATTGGAAATGCACCTAAAAGCATGCCGAGGGCCATGAATTTGGCCCAATTTAGGGGCTGAGGTACGGAGTGTTCTTTGACACGCGGCTATTGCTCCACTGTCAGCCCCAGCTGGACCGAAGATGCAGATCCAATGACGGCTGGCCTGGAGCCCTGCCCATTTCTGCGCCTGTTTGCCTTATCCTCGATTACATTGCAGTTGCGGATCGTGTCTGGCTCGAGATTATCCGACAGTAAGCTTCCATCTTTTCCATGCAGAACCGTCCTGGCCTGGCCGCTGCCCCATGCACAGGAATTTGTGCGCCTTCTTTCCTCGAGATTTCGTCTTTCGCACTTCACTGATTTGATCCTCTGGGAGCCCTTCTTGTTACCCTGGCTGGCCTAGGCTACGCTAGCGGCTAGCAGTGTTTGGTTCTGTACGTGAGGCCGGGAGGATAGAAAACAGCTCCAGAGTAATGGAGTATAAAGAAAAATTTAGAGAGAGTAGTATACTCCTCGAGTAGTATGATATTATTCATTCAGATCATTGGTCTTCCCGCTAGTTGAAGAAAGAATGAAATGTCTAGTCACATAGCATCGTCGACTTGATGCCATCAGTATGTGAGTCGAAGCATCTTGAACATGAAATTCTGAACCTCTTGCAAATTACACGTGGGTTTATATACCGATCAAGTTATGACCTCAGAGTTTGTTGTGGTTTCCTTGCATGTTGCCATTCGGTTGATAATATACTGTTTTATGTAAGTCAACTATCTTTGAAAGCTACTCTAGTTTGTTTAGACTTTTAATCTATTTGTTCGGATACTTTATTCTCTTTTGATACCATAAACTTTAACTTCAGAATCTAGCCCCTTATTTAAAAAAATTCTAGAAATAGTTACAAAGTTATAAAGAAAATATTGTGAGAAAAACATGGGATGTAAATAATTATAACGTTTGTTAACACTATGTAGGCTGAGCATTTCCGTGCAAAGAAATATTTTATCATAATATATATGGTTGTCACATTAAATATAACAATATATCAATTTTAGTAATAGTTTTCACTCTCAAAATATCCACTTAAACACTTAGTTCATCAACATAGCATAAAATGCCATATTACAGTCGAGCTACATTTATTATTTCAGATTTCAAGTTTTTACCCTAGTTATTCTCTATCTATCGTTTTTGTACTCCCTAAAACATTACTTTTAGAAATACTGTAAGGGCTTCAAGATAAATTAAGAAGTCTAAAAAAAGCTTTCGAATTTGAACTCTAACACCCCACCTCCCGCCCCACCCCCCTCCCTCCACATTACTGTACTGACATAATTGTTTGCGATGACTGACATTCCAAAGCTGACAATTCTAATTGCTGTAGCTGGATCATTCATTTAAATATCTACGTATTACACCTCAGTCATTTCAGCATATATGTCATAGTTAATGCAAATGCAGGACTTTCATAGTTAAAAACTTATTTTGTTTTTTCTTCATTTCGATATAGTAAAGAAATGCGATTTTGTGAACTTTTTAAATAACACAAATTTGAAAAAAATTTAATAAATTAGAAGTAGAATCTACAGACAGAAGGAAAGTGGTAAAGAACTGCAACGGAATCTAGTGAATTTCGTGAATATCAATGCCAGTGAGAAAAGTTTTTATATTAATATATAATATGATAACATGTTAGAGAAGATGTAACGTATGAATAGAGACAAGATAAGAGTAAAAATAAAAGACAGAAAAAGGAGTTGACGGAGATAATACTTTATATCTACTATTGCCAAAGACATTTATCAAACTAAGAAAATTCTACAATAATTGTTAACAATATATGTTGTAGGTGGGGGAAAAAGACGTCATGTTGGCTGACAGTTTGTCATTTGCAATAAGTGTTCATAAGTATGAGCATGTTTCAGATGTTGAACATGGTCATCAACAATATATATTTGACTAGATGAGAATATGTCACACTAAAAGAAAACCAGAGACATCCGCTATGGCAGTTTCTTTGGTTCAGATCATGTATATAGGATCCTTTTCACCCTCAAAAGAGTGCACTTGGAAGTACTGCCAGAATTGTTTCTCATTATACTCCAGTGAAAAGTTAAGTGTTGCTTCTTTGTTTAGTCAAATGATTTTTACATAATCTATGGCGGCTTAATCTTTTCGCTATTTTCTTCTCTTATTGATGACTTTGAGCTTGAATTGTCCTTCAACGTATTTTTCGCAAAAAGCTCTCAACACATTGAGAACTGAATATTACATTTCTCCTCTCCTCTTCCAGATGCGTGGATTTCGAATCGACAAGATGTCGCTTGAAATTAGCGTGGTTAGTTATCGAGGTTTGGGATTGCTTCAGCCTAAGAGGCAAAGATCATCTTGTATTACATTGGTGTTTTTCCACTCGTCCTTTGTGAGGCCCCCATTGGTGCTCCCAAAGATAAACCACACTCCCCTTTCATCGTCCTCTCTGTGGAGCTTCCACGATTTTATGACAATGTCGTGCATGTGCTGCGCTACCAGGGCAGTTGATCACTCTATAGACATTCCTACCATAGCCTGAATATGAGAGCTCCCGGCCTGGCTGACCGGTGCCTCGGTTGATGAACATAGTTCAGTAAAGAAGTCGAATGAATGACGGAGTTGTGGTGTGACATACATTTCATAAGCATCGTAAACTCGACAAGACTTGCTAATATTATCCACTTTAACACTACATTCTACCTGCATCTACATACGCAACCTTCGGAATGTCAAAAATGGCTGCGGTCATCAACAAAAATATGTGACAAGAGTCCGAGGTCATGAACCCCAGACCCCACGTACTGGTGCAACTCTGGAGTTGGTACCGGAGCTCATCTCGAACAAGATGCGAGCAAATATATCAGACATGCGCATGTCCGTCATTGCTATCTCCACAAAACTATTCTCGTGTGACATGAGTACTGCTCGATTTTGAGGCTCTGAGGCAAGGCTCTCCAGTGTTAAAGCTGCTTTTCGGCATATCTCAGCTAAAGGGTGTGGTGCCTGAACAACTCGCAATAGTCGCCCCACCGCCCTGCACACATCATCTCATCAAAACTCCAATTCGCTGACATTTAAACCGTCGTGGCTTCATTTTTATATGCCTCTCTTGTACTTTCCAAGCAGACAGCACTGTGTGCATCTATACGACCCGTTGCCACCAGGACCAAGTTCCTCGACCAATGACTAAGAAAAGAAAATGCTAGAGTAAGAAGGAAGATATATCCGAACCATCGACGAACAGAAACTGAAAGTTCATACCATCGTTCATTGGCAAGGCGTAGACGACAATCCATATTTATCTCCGCAAAGTTATACAGAGCGGCTACGGCCGCTGCTTGGGCGTCTGACACTGGTAAGCCGAGAAGATCTACTAACCGCCTGTAGATCTGCAAGGCTCAATCATATCGAGCTTTAGCACGAAACCAATTCTTGAAAATGTTCCAAGAAACAAACAACATTTCTGCACATAGAGACATACAAATTACAGGAGACTCGGTTTGGATTGTTGGAGGACCTGGGGTGCGAACGACAAAATAAAAGGTTCATTGTCAGGATTGACGACCAGCCGACCAAGTAACTCCGCAGCTGAGCAGTGCCATGCACGTACTTGGGACTCCAACATTCCCAGAATGACCTGTACAACTCGTTTGACCCTGCACATCGTCCCACGAGATAATCAGGAAGTAAGTAACCTTCATTGAACTGGAGCTGTGAAGCATCTGAATGTGATAAGGAAAGCTGTGTTCAGAGATTGTAGATCTCTTACGTTATTCGACCTCGCGCGGGAGAATCGATGGTCTCTCCGAAGATTTTCAAGAGCAGAAAGGGTGCCAGATTGACAATAGATTCCAGCGCATTTGTCACGAGCTCATCATCCTCTGTAAATAGCCAACTGTAAAACTTTCAAGTAACCAACTTAAGAAGATAATTGACAAGGCATATCTGCATCAGAGTTTACAATTTGTTCCCAGGCAACTGTTGGTGGATAGAAGTATAGCCTAATACATAAATCACTTTTGCAAGCAGGATCCGTTACCTGTCTCATGATCCTCCATGCAGACTACCAGAGTTTCTAGGCAATGCCGATTTTGAGCCATCGTTTGTTCGTTCTCAGGCATGAAAGAAAAGTTTCGTATGACATTTGAGGCAGCAACAGCACATTGTTGCCTCTCTGCCCGCCCAAGTTCATCCAGGTTGAACAAGCCTTCTTCGTCCCACCACCAATCAGAAGCCTTTTTTTGCCCCTCGCCGTCACTCTTACTTTCATCTTGGGTCCAGCTTTCTGATAACGTCCTGACGAACATATCTCCTTTTAGCTATCTCTCATTCTACCAAAATCTTCTGAGTAACTGCCATATTGAGGCCCTCTGAAACATACAAAACCAGAAGGAGTCCGAAATTCATGTCCATTCATACTGATGCATAGGGTTTAAGACTTAGTGGAAAGAAAGACTGACTGATGCGTGCTTTCATTTATCCTCTCCACTGTCATAGCCAACACAGCGAGGAGCTTTCGGATTCTCGATGGTAGTTTAGTAGAACATTCATGGCAGGAAATCACCTCAAGCGGTTTAAGGGATCTGCAGAACTCGAGATGTCATACTCGGCACCAAATCCAGTATAAGGGCGCCCAGCTCCCAATGTACGAGGTCTCGCAAGCTTTGCAGATTCTCTATTATGACCAATGTCACGCCACTCATTGATCTAATCTTGTGCATAAAACAACCTAGAGTGAGAAGAAAGAATACAAAGAAAACCTTCATATAAGAAGCCAAATCTCCTTCCACATTTTGGCCAATTCATACTAAATATTGTGGACCCTGCTTTCACTTTCACATCCTACAAAATGCTGTCCTCTTAGAAAGAAACTCTTTTTGTTTGATTGACAACCACCAAGCAACTTACAACTGCCCTCGGCTTCTAAAGAAATAAGGTAAACATAAGAAATATGTTCTCGTAGAGCAGAAGAATTGGAGTGAAATAAATTATATTGACAATATGAAGATGATCAGCTCTTGAAATTGGACGACGGACTTAACACAAAAAAGTGAAGAGATTGGTGAAGGGGCGAACCACATGCAGCACAGCGTCGAGAAGGCCCGGAATTTTTGCTAGAGGAGTCGAATCTTTCCTGCTGTCATCTTTCTCTTTGAAGGATAGCATCGTTAATGTGTTAAGAGCCCAAGTCAGCTCTCCTTTAAGTCCACTCTGCAGCGCCAAAACTAACCTCTTGTGGTTCTGCTCTGCACAGCCAGGTACTTCCCCACTGAGCTAGTCACCCAAAATGGTGGCTGATAGATAAAACTTTTGGCCACTGCGTCCTTACATACGAGAGGTGAAGGCGTCTTTCTAGAAAGCCTGTTGGAAATTACTTCTCTAAAATAAGATGCATCTCAGGCTTAGCAGTCAAGAGTCGAACTCATTTCGAACAAAGTCTTATAACAGCTACACGCAACAGGTCAGCATTGTTTCGTCGAAACCTAGATGTCGATAAGGAGCACAATTGCAAGCAATAGACATGGTAGCTGATTTGACCACACACATACCTGCAAAACCGCTATGAACTTGTATAGAAGGTCCAAGCGTGGGCTGAGCTCCGACTCCCGCAACCCCAGGAGCATCGGCATTGTTGTTGGAGGCATTGACCGCTGGCCTTCCTCTCTTGGCCGGTCCGCTGCCCCCTGCACCTCCTGCTTGCCCCACCATCTTTCCCTAACTCCACGACCTCCAAGCGCTTAACTACGGGCAGGGCTGTCAGCATAAGGTTAATCTCCTCACTTGTTCATCATCTTGCGATACAGACGCCTACTCTTCATAACCCCGGGTTTCATCTCAGCTCACTTCAGTTTTCCTGCTAGAAACACCACCCCCCACAGGGATAAGCATTGTTACAAGTCGGAAGACGTTTCTCGAATTTTCCAAATCAACAGAACTTGTGAGAATTTCAGCGCAAGGCCTGCATGTCTTCGAGAAATTGGACCCCCGATGTCGGTCTACTTTCCCAGATTCAAGCACACGAGGACGAGTCTCAGTTTCCGAAAGACCAGCGTCCGGCCACTGTCTATACCAAGCCTCAAGAAATTACGCAGCTGCATATTCCCCTGCATGTGACTTGGTTCAAATTTTCAGGATTTTTCGTCAGGGTAGGAAGAGTCATCTCGCTCAACGCGAGATGTCGAACAGATACCCAAAAAACAGAAAAAAATTTGATCATGCAATTCGCACTGGAGTGAAAAAATGAAAACCCTAGCCAGCAACCGGTGCTGCAAACAAGAAATATTTACTGGCTTCCATGAATATATAAATATGTCTCCATGTATACGTATATACGTGCACTCTCCCATCGATTGTACGATTCTCAACGGCTGACGACAGTGAGTTAAAAGACATACGGGTCAGCATTTGAGCCTTTTCGAGTCAAGGGTCCAACTAATTGACGAAAATGTGATGAATTTTGTCAACTTCCATTCGGAACCTGTACAGTACACTCGATTGAGTTGTTTGACCACAATCGGCATCACATTACCTGCACATGCACATGATCCGACAGCATGGGAAGAGATCGCTTGGGTCTCACAGTACTGCGTACAGGGCAAAGCGCGTCGGTGTCGGACTCGAATTGCATCGCATGGCAGCTCGTCAGTCGCTTTCCGAGTTGCAAAACTCGATGAAAGTCGGCACGAAAGTCGCGGCAATGGCTTAGGCATCGCCCGTTGCCTTTTCCTCTCTTTAAGATCACCGAGAGGCAGGAGCACGCAGCGCTGCGGCAGATGGTCGATGGTCGGAAGCCTCGAGTAATTTTAGCAAGAAAATCATTCAAATATGCTTTGCTGATTAAGAACGTTGATAGTAAGTGTATAAGTTTGGGGCATGTGCACATTATAATTGGAGTCGGTGGACTACGTAGTGTAGCGAAAAGTATGAGGGTACTGCATGAACATATTCAAGGATGGCATAGCGTACTATATACTCTTCCAGCTATCTCACTTAATATGAAAATAGGGAGTTTTATTTTAAGTGAGTAAAAATCTTTTACACGGAACAAACACGTTCATGTTATCCGATGTGAACACCCCAAGGAATACCGAGAATGTTAGAAAAAATCCATTGCTTGTTTGAGCATTGTGTGGCGAGTTGATAATTCTAGTTTACCTAATTACCTCCCTAATGGCAAATAGTGCAATGTTACATGAACCTAAAGGGTGGAATTTGTGAATATCACTTCTGGGTCTCTTATTAAAGAATTAATAGCTAATATTTATAATGTTATGGAAAACTAAATAACGTATGATATTACTAATTTATTTATTTATATTTTCATAACTGTAAAAAACCAGTTTAGTGATATTATTTATTTTGACTGAAGGAGGGTGATGAATCATTTTACTTTTCTCATTGGTTGTATTTCAAGTGTTTGCGAAAGTCCGACAGGAGTTCAACCTTTTGGGGCAGACTGTTCAACATATAGTACATGGCAATAGTTTCAAAATTTTGTAAAGAGAATTAATAATTATTTGAGAGTATACGAGTAATATTGAACATAAATTTTTGAAATAAAATATGAATTGTTTGAACTTATCTGAAACAAAATTTTGTACGATTTATTAGCTTTTGAAAAGAGCGTAATGTAAAATTTATTGTCATAACTGTTACAACTGAACAGTAAATTTTAAACTGTGCGCTCATGTTTTAATTGCAAATGATAATCGGTTATAAAAGGTAAATATTGGTTGTAACTGGTCGGAGTGTCTTTGATGCACAATAGCTGATGGTGTCAATGATGTGATACTCACTAACGTAAATATTGAAGAAGAACTCGACAACAGCAATGTCAAAAGAAGCACATCCCGAAACGGGAAGAGCTTATCTTGATAGTGTTCATCCAAACTTACATCGAAAGTGGTAGCATCAAATGTCATTTTTTGGTTTCATATTGATTTTTTTATGATTAAAGCATAATAGTCGAAAAAAATATTTCCAAGATTATAAATTTTGGAATTATAATACAAGCATCTATTATATTAACTATTTTGGAATTGATTACGGTAATTTCCTGATATCAAGTTTAAAGTAATTGTAGAATAACATTTTTTAGATTTATTTTTTTGAGTAGACCTCTCACTTGTTAGGCTGAGAGCACCTTGCAGCTCTGTTCAAGTGTTCTTTCCCCAATCTATAAAAGGTTGATGACGCTAAACAAGCTTTGCTTGGATCTCCTCCAAGGTCTCAATCCGAAGAGGACTACTATCAACTATTTGTTTGACCAGTAGTTGAAGAAATCTGATTCAGCCTTCTCCGGTAAGCTTTGAGTTTTAGTATTTTTGTTTGTTGGTATTATTTCCACTGAGTATTTGTATCTTTTGTCTTGAATCTTTTTAATAAACAGATAATAGTCAGCAATTTTCTAACAAATCTTGATCTGCAACTTGCTGTGTATCATTGTGCACTTCATCTTGTTTATCCTTCTTGTTTCTATGCATATTTCTTTTAACGAGTTTACAAAAAATCGTGTCAGTTTCGCTCTTTTTAATACTGAACATTAATTTTACGAACAGCTCATTTTAGTTAATGTCAAAGTAACCATTATACTCCTCATGCCTCCTGAATTATACATGACCATGCTAAACCAACTGTGAAAACCTTGTTATTATCTCTTCGTTACAAACTTTTTGTACTTTCTAGGGCTGTAACTCTTGCGTTTTCTTGGATACCTGTTTATATACTGTATCCCAAGCTTTGTAGGTTTTAGACTGGTTGCTTCAAGTGAGAAATGTTATATAGAATCTGAACCTAGTGTTGTCAACCCGAATAGAAGAGTAGAGTGGTAACAAGCTATGCTATTCTAGGATAGTCATTAGTCACCAATGATATATCAAGGTCAATTGTTCCAGCAAAGTTTTCAATATCATAAACATCTTGTTAAAGTTTTTGGTTGAAGTAAGTCTGATTGTATTATGTATGTATGTTTGATTGTCTCTTCCAGTTTTCAAGGGGTAACTCCTGGTTCACTAGTTTCGAAAATATGGAATCAAATCAATGATAGTGAGTATTTGATTGTGTTTCCTTCGATCGAACTTGAACTTCTTGCCTTACCTTGAGCTTTGTAGAGTAATTACGTTCCACCAATTGGACATGTTGAAGGACGAATGAAGAGGGGAAGAAGGAACTGAGTCCAGTGAGCTTTACCTCGGCTCCCGAGGTACAGTTCATGGTGTGTCTTTACCAGATTGCGAATTTCAACTCGATAACAGTGTTACTTTATGAATTTGACAATGGAATATATTGAGGAAGAGCTTCTACCTCCAAAGATACAAAATCTTCTTCTGAGCCTGCAGATGTTTGTTCAAAATCTCTCAGGAATTCTCCTTAAGGTTGTTCCTATTCTTCATCCCTGAAGTTTCTCATTATTTTCAGCATTTATCTACAATTTTGAAGCAAGATATTCATTTATTGATTGTCACAGTTGATAAGTTGTAACTTAAATATATAGTAGTTACACACATTATTGTCTGTTTTAATACGCTTATCCCATACTCTGGGGTACAGAGATGGTGCCAAATTTGTTTGATAGAAGTATCCATACGTTTAGATCACTCATCATTATGAATATTGTTCATGGAACAGTATCATTCTACTTATTTACTCATCTAGTAAATGGAATGCTGTGATGTCATTCTATGCGTGTTTGAATTATGACCTCCAATTCACAGTTCTAGATTCTGTCTTCCTTAGCAACCTCATAAAATTTTTACTGTGGACTTTTAAGAGGCCAATTTTTCTTCTGTAGGTTGCTAAAGGAAACGTCGGTTCAAGTACAGGTTCCCTCCGTGTTTGACGAGGTATTCCGAGAGCTACATGTTTCGACAATCCAGTCTCCTCATTCGTACAAAAGGGGATAGATCCGGAAGGCCAAATGTAAAAACTCTTTGGCCGACAAAAGACGAGGACACTCTGTGGCATCCCGCTTGTGGCGCATGTTGAAGCAGTCTTTGATCGTGCTCTTGAGAGTAAGAGATCACTGTACCAGAGACGAAGAATGTCCTTCGCACAGTCCGAAGGGACATTGTCCGAAACCAGCTAAAGCATCTCCGAGAACGACCAGTTATTCCACCAGTTTCCGGTAGGTTGATTGTCCGAATCGAGGGGTTCGAATATTACGGAAACAAGGAGTTGCCACACTCATCGCTAAGTAGTTCAGGAGTAACTTGCAATTGGCTCTAATCTAGATTGCACGAGTCCTTGTGCTATACCTAACTGTGCCGTAACGAAGACTCATACGAAGAAATTCAACCAATACCAATTTACTTCACAAAGCGCGAGCTTTCAGAAGCGCGGGTATTTTATAATCCTCGTCATCGAAAGGCACGACCAGGGACTAGGGCGCTAACACGCGCTAACAATTTAGGATGACAATAACAATTTCTTCAAAGTTTCAGATTGAATGCATTCACCTTTCCCTGAGCGGACCCACATTTAGACCAGATACGGCCCTCAATCCTCTGATTAAAAAACAGTCAACCAGAAATCTGCAAGACAAATCAACGCGGGTGTTCCAGTCCAGCTTCTTTCTCTGCACACTCAACGATAATCGAACAGAAGGACAGGGAAAATCCGAATCGCACGAATGCGGACGCAACGATCCGACAAAGATGCTTTTCATAGGAACTAGAAGCAAGGGGCAAAAGTGCGTCGACGTCCAAACAGGCTAAATCCTCAACCACCAATAGCAAGAAGAGCACATTAGATTACACCTCCAGAAGCAACTTCGAGAGAAGAACAACAAAGAAAGCCCAAGACACTCCCGTCTCACTGTATAGAAACGGAGGAGCAGGTGGTATTTGATGGGTGCAAAAGTGGGCAGAGGATTTTAGGGCCGGCTAGGCAACCCTCGTTTACTCCATTGCAGGCCTACACGTGTCACTGTAACTTGGCCCCAGGGCATCTGGTTGGATTGTGACCTGCGAATCAAACGCTAGAAAACGTTTTTCCCTTCTGAGCTAAGGAGTTATGTACCCTGTTGACATGTTCTTGATTTACCGTACTGCCTTGTGGAAGATCATCTCATAGAAGTATCAAAGAATAAACTAGTACTCATAGAATAATATGAGTCATAGATTTTGAATTTCTGCAATGCAGAAATTCAAAAATCAGAAAATAATAATTAAAGCATCAGATCTATATTCTTATTTTCTGTCAAATGATTTCCTTGTAGTAGTGTTTTTCTTGATGTGTCTTTCCATACAGAAACCTCTTAAATAAATTACTGAAGTAAGCACATTCCAAATTCGAGGTTTATAATTGAACAGATCATGAATCTTCATATGGAGCAAGATCCGGATGAAACGAGTTTTAATCATCATGGCATGTATCGTCAGATTCACTTTGAATTCCAGAGCAGCTGATCCTCTATGTCGGAACAGAACTTGATTAGAAATGGATTCGAAACGCTGAGGGCTAGTGCACTCTTCCTGGGAGCGAAGCTAGGCCAATTTGGGAGTGGTCAGTCTGAATTAGGCACCTACTAGCTAAGTACTTGAAAACTTCGGGGTTCAAGTTGCTGGGTTTAAGTGGGAGTCTATTGCACAGACATGTGTTTTTTATATCAATACTCTTATGTCGCAACGAGATATGGTAGTCCCATGATAGTGGAGAGGCGTCATTAATGCGATTGCATGTCTTTCGCAGAGGCATGTCTCTTTTCTAACATTCTTCTCACAGTAGCAATCAGGTTTCCATCCAATTGTTGCCCGATTTGGTTTTCATTGATCCATTGCCTGAATGATTCTTCTTCGAAACAGATCATGGAGTTCATACTTGTCATATACAAGATGCTAGAACTAATCTTCAATCTCTTAGTGTACATATGAAAAGAAATTTTGTCATTTAGCATTATAAATTTACTTATATTAATTTACATATTTATAGAACTAATGTAGCATTCTTAAAATTTACTTTCTGAATTCTAATTTTTTTTTCCTTGAAAGATTGGAAAATTTTGGATGCTGAGTCAATTTAAATTTGTCTGTGAAATTTTTTGAACAAGTATTCTGTTCAAAGATTCAAAAAACTTAACAAAATAATTTTCTTCACAATTAATCACATTGTATAATTCTAACGGACATCAACTTCTAGTACCAAATTTATGATCTACATGTTTAATTGCTTAAGTGCATTTGTGGAAGCGCAGTTTTTGTTTTTTTGGAAATAAAGTATTTTTTTGAATAGTAAGTACCGCGGTAGTAGCTGTAGATAAGAATCAGTACGTGAAAAGAAAATAAAAAGTGAATGGCGACGAAAGGGAGGAAGGGCTTCCTCCGAAGGCAGTCGGGTGCCTTGGGCGAGAATGGCGGTTCAAGCTGCAGAGCCTGCTTCACGCGCGCCTTCGGCGGAAGAAAGTGCCTTCGGTTGAAGCTTCTTGGGCGGAGGCATTACCGCGGAAGACGTACGAAGCATTAGGGAAGCATTACGAAGCTCCTTCGGCGGAAGACGTGACCTTCGTCGCAAGGCTTCACCTTCGGCCGAAGCGCCTTCGGCGGAAGCAGGGAAGGAAAGAAAAACGGCGGAAGGAAGTGCCTTCGCCACTAGCGCCTCCGTCGCTAGTGCCTTCGCCACAAGCGCCTTCGGCGGTATGCTGAAGGAGATCTACTCCGGCAGAAATCGGCGCGATTATGTCAAATGTACTAGTGTGGGAGTCCGCGCAACGGCGGAGCGTGAATTCGTGCGTGTGAAGCAGACCGTTACACCTCATCGTCGGCACAACATTCAAGCGGCCCGTTGCCAAGTCCAAATGTCAAACTTGACAATTCTTGATGGGCAGAGGGGAAACTCATTCACGCATTACCGATTTTGCGCTTATCCGAACTCTCGACGTGCAGTAGTAGCAGGAGCACGCAGCAATTGTCAAGAATTCAATGGCCAAATCCATTCCTCAATGGAATGGATTTGGTGCCACTGCGGGTGCCGCAAGTTGGATTGCGGGCATTCCAAGATGAATTGACAGCGGTGAAGCTCAATTTACTTTTGTGGGGATGGAATTGGATGTGCCCGGCGATGGTCCTCTCGAAGGAGGAGATGGCGAGGCGAGTCGCCCACTGTCTCAAGGGCTACGCCCACTGGGAAGTGGCGGCGCAGGAGAAACTCACACTGCGTGAGTTGGAGCTTCGTGCAGCCGGGTTGTTGTCAGGGGACAGTAGGAGTCGGCGGAAGGTGGCGAAGAAGTTAGACTCTTTTCTGTCGAAGGCGCGGGATACCATGTCCACCCTCGAGGCGGAGGTGTCCGCGGCGTTGCAGCGTTTGGGACTACGCAGTCGAGCGGAAGACTGGTAGGGTAGGGAGTTAGTGCGCGGCAGTCCGTCGCGCAGGAGGCGAAGCACAGGATCTGCGGAGTGTAGTGTAACGTGGTTCCGTGCCGGCGCATAGTGTAGTGCAGTGTAGTGCTAGTTAGGATTTAGAAGGTATAAAGTAGTTCAAGGCGTATTGCCTTGGGATTTTTCCCAGTTTCGGAAGTGCAGATTAGGAACTCATTTTCTCTACGTGTTGGTGTCCTTAGTTCTGTCACCACGCAAGAGGAGCTACAACTTGGCGTTCCGCATTTTGTAGCTGAAGGCCTTCGGCCGAATGTTCAGAGCTAGTACATTGGTTAGAGACTTGAGTAGTTCGGATCTACACCGGCGGGTGATTGCCGATGCTCAGAGCCAGTGATTAGTTAGATACTTGAATAGTTTCGCCCCTACACCTTCGAGTGTTTGTTCCTGATTGTACTCCTTCGGGATTTTTCCCCTGAATGCCAAAGTGAAGTTTTGTTACTTCGTGTAAGCCTTGGTTGTAAATTCAGGTTACGCTGCAGCAGGTGCCTTCAGGGTAGCCCCTGTAGTATTTCTGGGAATGACAAGTGCCTGAGAATTCAAACTCTTCAATAGACTGTTATGGTGTGGTACTGGAATGTTTCTCAGTGAGTTCTCCTGTGCGGACCTGTGTTCTCTGCGCGTTTTGTGAGTTGAGAGTGTTGTTCACCGCCTCTGAGTGACTTCGATCCGAAGTAGGCAGTCCAAACCGGGTTTCCTACGCTAGCAGTAAGCTAGTGGAAGTGTTGTAAAAGCCGGAGTTGGGAGTCACTACCCGCAGCTTCCTTGAGTGTACTCTCGAGAGACTTTCCCCCCCTGAAATCTTGAGTAGAGGTCCTAACGGATCTCTGGGTTGTGTTTCCGTAGTTTCAGGTGTGTGTGGATGTGTGTGTGTGTGTGTGTGTGTGTTACGCTGCACTGTGCGACCTCCGAGTGCGCTCCGAGTGGACACTTGCAATATTTCTGGGAGTGACAGTCGCCTGAGAATTCAAACTCCTCAATAGTCTGTTAAACGTGACACTTTGTACCCTGTGTGTTCCTCTGTCCCTGTGGGTTCGACCTTTCTACCACTATATTGCAATTTTAGCCTTTAGTGGGTTATTACAGGCACCACAGTGGGAGAACCCCATTTATTATGGTGAGCCGAGTGAGGACACAGCCTATGCGGTTCAGTCAGCTCCGGCTACAACTCCGATCCCACCTGTGCATATGTGGTAACACACTTTTTGTTTTTTTGCAGAATTTAAACAATTTTAGAAAACAAGTACCGAAGCAGTGTCTGTAGTTAGAAAAGGGTACGCTAAATAGAGTGGATTGAGGAGATCGTCACGAGGTCACGAAGAATCGCGAAGTCGGATGTACCAGCGCCAAATGTCTTTGGCGCCTTCGGCAAAAGCTCCTTTTCTGAGGTGTCTCTACTCACGCGCTCCCAGCGTTTAAGGAAGCTACGCTTCCAACGCAGACAACTCCGGAGGAGATTTTGCTAAAAACGTCAGAAGAACGGCACGGGCCTCTGAAAGCTTCCGACCATGAGTGCGCCTTCGGCGATGCGCCGCTAGCGCGGAAAGGGAAACCTTCATAACGATCGGAATACATGGTAGTTCCAGTTGGTTGAAGTTGCATTGGTAAGAGCTCGGGACGCTCGTCCTAACGAGCCCAAGAGCGTCGGAGATGGATCAGGGACGAAGAAGTTATGAGCATCGGAAAACTCGTAGCCGGACATGCGCCGTTCGCGCTAGGGTTCACAGTCGGAAAGGACTCCCTTACGCCTTCGGCGATGCACCTTCGGCGGAATCACGCGCTCATGGGAGGAAATCAACTCAGAGTCGGAACACCTTTGGCGGCTGCGCAACGGAAGAAAAGCGCCGGCCGGATGTACGCCTCCGACGTGGCGCTGGCATGACTTGCGCCGGCGGAATATGCGCCGTCAGCAATGGACGAGGCAAAACGGATAAAACAAGCGGTACGAATACCAGCCGGCGTAATTCGCGCCGACTGGATGTGCGCCTCCAGCAAGGCGCCGACGGATAAGGAACACGCCAGCGGCGACACGCCTCCGGTGATGGTCGGGTTAGGAAAAGACAACATAGCCGACGTATACACTACGGCGAACTCGAGTCCGGAAGACGGTGGCGGCGGGAGAATTCAACATTCACGCATGCGAATGCGCGCAGTGCGGAGACGTGAATTCGAGCATGCAAGGGCGAACCGTTAGACCGTATAGCTGGCTGCGTAAATTGTAACCAGTAAGAACGTTGAACGATCTTGAATTCGGAGAAGAAAAGACTGCTCTCCAGTCTCATTCTCTCATTCTTGATTTTACGATTTCTAGCATTCCAAGAATTCACGCAAGGGCGGAGAGATCTGTAGAGAGAGGAGAGAGTGCGGAGGCGAGTTGCGCAAGGATCTTGACAGACCTTGGAGAGAATTGCGAGTAGCGAACTTGAGCGTGAGAGAAGAGGGAG